AAAACCACCTCACCCTTCATTGTCATCAGCTGCGCTCAGGAGACTGCAACATACAATTGCAAGTGGCATTTTCAACATTACCAACTTTAGTTGTAGTTGCATGCTGTTCCATCCAGTATGCTAGAATTTTATTTTTTTTTTTTAATTTTTCACCCAAAACGTAAGCCAATGCCAAAATCCCATCGGTAAGTTTCACAAGCTCCGTGATGCCCTTGTTGAAAAAGGTAGTTTAGCTCTCTTATGCAATAGCAGAGAATCAACCATTTATACCCGTAGGGATATGAACGTCTGATTCATATATGAGAATTTATCAACATGTTCAACAAGTACTGAATCAGATATTCCCGGGACAGCCCGGAGTACACTCATCCTGCAATTTATAACAAGTGCTGATCCTATTCAATAATAATTCATTGCGACTTATTCTCCTGACCTGTATACTGATTAAAGATACAATAAATATATATATTTTACAATTTATATTACACATACAATAAAATGCAGTAAAAAAAAAAAACACAAGCATTATATTCGTTAAAATTAATAGTTCATGGATTTTATTTGAGTTGTATTTGCTGAAACTTTACTTAAAAATTGTATATTCTTTCAAATAAACAACTCTTTTCATCAATTTCATTAGTTAATATTAAGCCTTTTCATATTTCAAATATAGTAATAATAATTCTTTAAAAAAAAATCACAACTATATCAAAAAATGAATATCCAAATGTATGTTTTCTTAATTATGTGAAATGAATGTAATTTATTCAAAAAAGGGAATTAGTCAGACGTTCTTTATTTATCTAATTGCAACAATGTTACCATTTTCAATTTGACATTATTATGCATAATTGAATTCTCAATTTAATTTTATAAATTAGATACAGCTTATTGAATGGGTTTTCCATTTATCTAGTTGAAAGTGAAATCAAAATGCGGTGATTTGGATTTTTAGTTCTTTTAGTTTTTCTGCACTAAATTATCAAAATTCATGCTCGTTGGCAAGTTTTGGCCATTTTTCAATTCCTTTTTCTTTCTCTACAAACTTTTCAACTTTTAAAGTTCTAATTAATTTGTTCACGTATAATCCCAAATTTGTGAGTAGATCATGCGAAGAGCATTTTAAGTTCGTCTCGCTTAACTGATTTTTTTTCACGAGCATGTGTCGGCATTTTTACTTCTGTCATTTTTTTTAAGTGCCTCCCACACACACATACACACACACACACACACACATATATATATACAGTTGGCCATCTTTTTGTGGACTATTTGGCTTTGGCTTGCATTTCTGTGTTTTAACTTTCTTACAATAAAGTGATGTTATCTTGCGCCCAGCTACTTTGCGGCTTAGGCAACAGGCGAACTCAGGTCGAGGGGTCTGGAGGAGTATGTCTTGCAGCTGGGCAGATTTTTTTTGGGGAGGTTACCGGCGACAGGATCTACGGGAAATTACTCTCTGCTTTATCGAGCATATAAATCTATTTGCTCAGGTGTTTTTCGCTGCTAATATGTTTGTGATGACTTTATTTTGCGCTTACCGCCGGCTTTTCTCGCCGCCTTTGCTTGCCTACCCCCAGCCCCATCCACTGCCATATTCTGTTTTTTTTTTTGTGCTCCTTTTCGGCACTGCCTTATTTATATATGTGTTGGTGTGGGCGGAGGAGGGAGTGTAGGCGGCAGAAGCTTAACAGTTTTTTTTCTGTGTGTTTTTTTCTGTTTGTGGTAGTAGCTCTAGAAAAGTTGTAAAAAGGTTTTTGCAGCTTGCCAGCTGGTCTGTTTGCTGAATTTGTCCTGTGGAGCAGGCACACGCATTATTTTCAGTTTTCGCCTGCTTTAATATTTCAGCGTTGAGCCAGTGCGGCGTATGCGCAATTTGCTTAAATAAATACGTGAGGCGCCACCGAAAACTCCGCCCCCTTTTGCCACTGACAGAAAGTGCAAATTAAAAGCCAAAACCGTTAGGCTAAATGCTTTAAGCACTTAACTTGCACGCATGTGGCCCTTCTTGTTGTTGTTGTTGTTGTTGCTGCTGTTATTGTCGCTGGTTAGCTGAAATATTCAGGAGCGAACATAAAGCGCGGCCCAAGGCACAGGACACACACAGGACATGCTGTACCCGAAATGAATGTCGGCAAGCTTTTAAGCCTTTTTTTAATGCCCTTAAGAACAATAACAACAACTAGACTGGCTATACACTATGTACTATCCACAAATACACACACTTATACACACTAACAAGCACAACAATGTCATCGCGACCACACACACACATACACTCACACTCACACACACACACACCCACACAACATTTACTCAAGGGATTAACTGCAAAGATCTTAATGCCTCTATTTCGACGGTCTTAAGTATACTTGCGCCCCGGCCAGGTTGTCCAATGTGTGACAGGGACAAGTCAAGCAGCACTGACTTTCACCCACCCACCTCCCCCCTATAAGCACACACACACTCCTACATTTTTCTAGCTGCCTCTTGTGTTGTGTGTTTTTGTTTGTATTTGGGGCTTGTGTTTGTATTTACCACTAGCCCTTGGGCTCCATGTTTCTCCTAGTTTTCTGTCCCGCGTGCCCTCAAGCGCCACTTGCCCGTGTTTTGTTTGCATTGTATGTATGAGTGTGTGTGTGTGTGTTTGTGTGTGTGCGGTCTTTAGGATTGGGCCACATATGCACATTGTCATTGCCAAGTACCACTAATATTATTTACATTTCGTTAGGTTTTCCTGTTGAACAGCAACCCTAAAGAAACCCAACCAGAATCCCCAAAACCACTCGATACATCCGTATATACACTTAAACAAAATTTGTAATACCAATACATTGTATTTTCCAAAATCAAGTACGATTTATTCAATAACAAATACTTAACGTTTGAATAAAAAAATCGATTTAGGAATGATTTTTGGTTGCAATTACACATAACTTTTACTTTGACTTTTATTACTAATTATTAATTATCATTCCCTGTAATGATAAAATTAGAATTTATCAGGTAATCAATTCACTGACCTATTTAAAATATTATTCAGTAGACAAGACGCTTAGTCTACTGAATAATATTTTCAAATGCATTTGTGGGCATCTTATTATTATTTTTATTTATTTTTATTATTAAAGATTAAATTTTATTTTGAATTTTATTTATTTTGAACTTTTTATAACATAAAATAAACTTAATTATCAACAGCGTTATCCTCTGAGTGTATATAATATATATATGAACGTATCTGGAAGGCAATTCACCAACCATTGCTATTCATCAGCTAGACACATGGTTGACTTCCTCCAGCCTCCCGCTTCCCATTGCCCGGCGGAAACAATTATTGCGAATTACTGCGGCAATAAAAGCACAAAACTTTTGGACCGATTCTTTTTTTTTTGCTTTTCGCTTCGGCTTTTTGACTAATAGAATTTCACGCTGAAAAAAGTTTGTGTGCGTATCTTTAATGAAACTGAAATTACGCAACGATCAAATTGAAAAACCGCACCATGCAAATACTTTTATAACAATAACAGCAACAACAACAAGAACAACAAGAACAACAGCAAGGAGCAGATGTTGCCTCCTGGCGCTCGTGGCAACAGCCGTTGCTCCGTGTAATTGAAAAATATGAAGTACAACGGCAATCTGATTAAAATTACATTAAAATAATAAGAAGAACAGCAACCCTATGGGGTTGTTACATAAGTATTATATAGCAGCAGCGGGCAACAACTGCAAAAGTTACAAACTTGCAATTTGTGAACATTTTATGGCACCTGGTTAGCGGCAGAAGTTTTATTTAGAAAACTTTACAATTTTCCATGGCAATACTCTTCGATTGCTGGACGACGACAGACTTTAGAACTGTGTGCGAATGATAGATTTGGCTATACGTAAGTCAATTTTATATAATTGCAAGTTAATATTGAATAAAGAGAAGAATTCAATTCAAAAAATAAAATTAGTATGATTTAAAATATAAGCTTAAAATATTCATATTTAAAATGCAATGCGTATTTTCCAATACAATAAAAAAACTGAAGAAAAAAAACGTATTTTAAATTGAAATTTAAATATTTATTTTGAAAACGGAGTCAACGTGTTGGCGAAATGCATTTAAATGCATAAATAAATAATATAGAAAGATATTTATATTTATGTATATATTATATTATTATATACAAATCTTTATTGCATACGAGTAGATATTATATAATGATATAAGATACCAAAACATAGAACACATTTTTAAAAATAATTAAGGATGTATTACGAATGCAAATGAAATATGTAAAATTGGCTGCGGAACGTAATTAAAATTATTTCAGCATTTTTGCTGCGTTCGATTTCCTTTTTTAATGAATGTTGGCAGTCCTGCTAATCGATGCCATTGACTCCCCATCATTCAGCATTGACAACACTGAAATCACGTTGTCAAACAAAAAATGATATACCATTTAATCAAATCAATCACTTTGCGAATCTGAAGATTGACTGCCAAATTAATCGCATCGGTTAACGTGTAAATCAAATCCCTTCGACCCAAGCTGGAAGTGCGATAATATCCGTTGCATAAATAAGCAGCTGAAGCGCATTATTGTGCACATGGATCAGGCACAGTTCAGCATGGACATCGCCATCGATGTGCTAAGCTCGTTGTCCATTCGAGAGGCGCTGTATAGCGCTTCCGAGCGGGGGCGTTCGAGTGCGCATCTTGTGGCGAACGGAGCGTTTGTGCACAATGCCGAGTTCCGGCGGAGCTCAAGTGAGCCGGACTTGACGAAACACCACAAGATGTGCATCAGCCATGTGACACAGCGCCTGCTCAAAACCAACAACGACCATTTGCATGACCGGCTCGATGAACTTTGTACATTTGGTTAGGGGCTGTGATGACTTATGCATAGCTACTGCATCAAAGATTGCCAGGCATTTGGAGAAATAACTCCAACGCATGTGGTCGAAATGCATATAATAATAAAAATACACAGGCAGCTACGCAATCGCTTTTGTTCTTTATTGTTCAATATTAATTCACTTATATATATATATTTTTGTATAGTATATAAATATTTTTTCGGTCTTAAGGCTCACTTAGGGGATACGTTTTGATTCTGTATGGACTGGGATAAAGTGGAGGATACATTACAAATGTATGTATGATGCAATGAAATATATATATATATATGTATATATATATATATACTAAATCCCAGTAAATCGTGACCGCTGCTCAACTGATCTTGTTGCGCAGATAGTACTTGATGAGCTGTATGCAAACCTCCGCATCCTCCGCACTGTCGTGGCCAGCCTCTGCAAAAGGAAAGATGATTATAATTTAGGTATGGAATAGTATTAGTTTATTTAGTTACTCACCATTTTCTTGTATGATGCGCTTGAGGTTCTCAATGCACAGCGTTTTCAGCGCACGCTTCTTTGGCGGACCCATTTTGTGGGGAAAGAGCACAGAGGTGTCTACGACCACATCGTGTATCAGCTTCAATGCCTTCAAATCGCTCTCCAGACTGTGACCCACCAGCACCGTCTTGGCATGAAACATGGACATAAGCACGGCCTGAACATCCCGCAGGGTGCGCGTTTCCTTCGCCAACATTGCCTCCGTTATGCCCGAATAGCTGCAAGAGAGAGATCAATAATAAATGGATTGGAGTTAGGTAGTGTATAAAAATGCCAGACTCTAAAGTGCTCTGTACATATTAACGTATATATTTTATAGTCTATATATAGTCTGGGCTGTTTATAATACGTACACGGTGTTATAGTCCACAATTTGATTGTCTGGCTTGACAAGGGCATCGTAGACGCTGCGTCCATTGATGTCCACAACCGTGACGCGGGTGAGTTCGATTCCATGCGTAGTGTAGCACATTTCACAGTCGAGTGCATAGATGTCCTTCTTGGTGGACACATAGTCGTCCGAGCGCTCAATTGTCTTAATGAAACATGTCAACTTATCCGGATCGTAGTAGTCGCTCACATGATAGTTGGCATAGCTGCAGCCCGGTGTGCCCGCCGGCTGTTGACAGCAGCGGTGCTGATTGTCCGTAAATCCACGTCGATAGCCAGTGCTCTTTGCATGATAGTTGCACATATCAACGCACTTCGTATCGTAGATACTCAAATTGAACACCTTGCCACAGCGTGTGCAATAGCGTTCCGTCTCATTGGGTCGTCGATTGGGGCGGCAGGCGCGTATGACAGCTGTGCCACGCCCAGGACCCGGTCGCGGATAGCCATTCTCCACCAGTTGCTCATCAGTCAAATGCAGATCGTAGACCATTTCGTACGCCTTCTCCGCGCACAACGAATCGAAGGGCTCTGCCGTGGAGCTCAATTTGCTAGAAAAAATAAGGGAAATATTAGCCAGATGTAGTTTAGAGTCTACTGATTCTATGTTCTCAGTGAATGTTAGCTGACATTTGACAATATTTGAAAAGTTTTAGAAAGATATTGGAAAGAATTCCAAAAACTAAATGGATTGATAAAAAATTATTTGAGAATATTTGAATTATTTTACATCATCGCCTGAATTAAATGAAAACGTTTAAGTTCAATATAATATTTCCGAATTTAAGCGGACAGAGGGAAAAACTGACAGACGTGCAATACACGCCTTGTTTTCCATTTGAGAATAGAGTATCAGAAAAAGACAATTTGTCTGTGTGTGTGGAACATACTCCTTCTTCTCCACGCTCCAAGATGTGGTAAGGGCCCGCTTGCCGCCGAGCATCATCTCGTGCGAGATTGTCTTGTTGGCGGAGCTGGGCTGATTGCCCGCCTCGATGGCCTCCTTGCGCAGCTTGTTGATGGCCAGCATGCAGCTGTTCTTGTAGATGGACGGCGTGCTGCACTTCTTGAAGACTGCCAACTCCTCCACTTGCGCCCGTTCCCAGGCATCATTTAGCTGTGGATAGATGACGGTGCACTGCTTCACCATCATCTCGTAATACTGCATACGTATATTATACGATATCTTTGAGCTTTGCGGCTCCAGCACCGGTGGCTTGGCGGCTGCAGCTGCCGTTGCCGGTGCCACTTTATCCAGTGCAGCTGTGGGAGTATGCGCTACACGATTGCCACCCTTAAACGATTGCGCTGTGGTAAACGCTGGCTTCTTTTCCAGCTGCAGCTCCTCGATCTTCTTCTTGGCCCGTGCAATCGCTATGACATTGGCCACGGGCGCAATCGTGCGAGCTGTGGGGAGTTGAAAAAAAAGGATAAGTACTTGGCTATAAGATTAAAGCGTAATCGAGCTCTTTTCTCACTGCATAACTAATAATAATCATTCAAATTACTGCTCTGATTTTGAATAACACACAATATTTGCCTGATAAAACGTGAATATATTAATATAATAGGATATATAATAGATGTGAGCACGCCTAATATTGTATAGAATCTAGACACGATTCAAATAATAATGTTGGTCCAATTATAAATTATCCGCAATTTTCGTAGAATACACAATATGTAAATGCAGTTTCATTTCATAGGAATTATTCTGATTAAATAAATATATAATGGCAGCTCTTTTTTGTAACCATTTTAAAATGAAGCTTAGAATTTTGATACTCTTATAATATATTATAAGTATTATCAAAAAAAAAGGAGACATCTGAGAGATCATAGGGTATATGATTTATATATTACTGAACAACAAACAAAGCCAATTTTATAGATAGTTGAATGCTTGATTCTATGCAGTGTAGTCCTTAAATTTTTTTAGTTATCTGTCGAGTTTTGTGATACATATACAACCATATATCGAACTATAAGCTATAAACTCACAATGTACATGTGTTATGATGCCCCTACTGGCACTAAGTCAGTCTCATAAATAAATAATACAATAAACATCTGACCTATTGGACTCTGTTTTAAACTTCGATGTGCCGCACAAAGCCATAATTTGCATACAATAAAAAAAAATTAATAGCTACCTGTGCGTGTTGGTGGCGTTAGAGCCGCTCGTGATATGAGTGGGGTGAGTGTCTTGGCTCTCGCCTCCCGCAGCTCCTCTTGTGCGACACGTACACGCTCCTGGGCGAGGCGCAGCTGCTCGGCATCTGCATCGGCGCGTATTTTCTCTTGACGTCGCAGCTCAGCACGTCTATCGAAGATGCGCTGCATCGCGTTCCGAATGTGATTGGGTTTGTGGACTGTCACCGGTGTCATGGTCTTGCATTTGTCCGCATTCTCGTGGGCGACGCGACGCTTCTGAAGCGCTGCTGTCGCCGCCTCGGTGTATGTGTCGATGTCCGGCGAGGGTGCTTTACGCTTCAGCGCAAACTCTGTCGCTGCTGCTTCCACCGGCTTGTGCAGCTGGGCAAATTCCTGTTCCAGCTCATCGTATATCATTTCACACTGACGCACAATTTCCGCATCGGATGTGCTCACATCTATGTCAAAGTCCATCTCGATGTCCTCGCTGGACTGCTGACTGGAGGCAGTTGGTTTCTCTGTTTCGGTTTTGGTTTTGCTACGGGTGGAACTGGAGCTTGCGGAGGAGGAACTCTTTGATTTGGAGCTGCACGAACTGCGCGATGTGGACTTGGAACTGCTACTACTACTATGCTGGCGACTTCTGGACGATGATGATGTGGATGCAGATGTGCTGCCCTTGTCCTTGCTGCTGGAACTCCTTTCGCTACGATGCTTATCGCTGCTCGATGATTTTCTATGCGATGAAGATGATGAAGACGATTTTGAGGATTTGTGCTTGTTGGTGGAACTGCGACGCTCCGAACGTTCGCTATCCTTATGCGTTGAGCTCTTGTGCTCTCTATGCTTATCACGCTCCCTGCTCGATCTGTGCTCTGATTTTCGGGAAACAGAAATTGATTTCTTTTCCCCATCACTTTTTGGAATTTCTTCCGTGGGTAACAGCTTCTGCTCCTCCAGATTTGTCTCGGGCAATTCTGGCTTTTCCTGCACCTCCACCAGCAACTGTTCCTCCTCTTCGTCTACATCATCCTCTTCTGTGTGTTGACCTTGCCAGGTGTCGCCGGCTGTGCCATTTGTGCCGACCAACTGTGAGGGCACATATTTGGGTACACCGCTCGCATCGCCAAGACCCTTTTTGGCCGGCGAGGCATTCAGGGCTGGCTTCTCTGGATGATACTCCAGATTTGATTTCTTCTTTTGCCTGATGGGCGCCGCAGTCAGCGTCAGCTCGGGCAGCGGCAGCGAGAGCAACTTGGGCACCGGCGCTGGTTTGTACTCCGGCACCGCTTGTTCCGCTGCCTCAACATCCTCTGCAAGCACAGGCTCGAATTGAATTTAATTGAATGTGCCATTTATAATGAACTTACCCTTGCGTAAATGCTTAAAATGGCAGAAGGGACGCTTGCAGGTGGCGGCGCTATTGTCTTTGCTGGCGCTGCCAGCGCTGTTATAGTACGGGCAGGCAAAGCTCTTGAAGAGGCCTGTCGATGGTAACATTTTCGACTCGTGTCTCTTCGATTTGTATTCGCAGCTAAATGAAGCAAGCGTTGTATAAAAAAAAGTAAATGTTCTATTTGTTTCGTGCTGTGTATTTTCTCATTTCATGAAACTGAAGCTGATGCCAGATGTTTTTGCGAATCGCGGGACACGGCGTTGCCAGAGTTTTTTTTAAGTGTGGCAGCTCCGTCACAACAGCTGAGCGTATAAACAAAACAAGCCAGCCACCCAGTAGAAAATGTGACAGCAATCTGAAACATTCCTGCTAATTCTACGTACATCAAATTAAAAGCGAAATCTTAAGACACGCCTCATGCAAAGCTTTTAAAGCTAAAAAACAGAAAAGTGTAAATAATATTAACACTATAATTATTTGCGCATACAATTCGCCAGCGGTCAGTACAAGCTTTGTTAATTGAGCAAATGATGCACAATTAGATCAGTTAGATAAATTCACACGTAATTCAATAAGTAAGTACACACTGACATTAGTATACTTAAGTGTGCTTATCAAGTGCTTCTGTCTTTAATTCCAACTCTAACGATGATGGTGCATTAAATGAATACGCTGCTGGGTACAAGGTTCACTCTCTCCCTCTCTCTGTCTCTCTCCTCCTCTCTATCTGTCTCTCTCACTCTCTCATACACAATTCATGCATGTCGTCACATTTAAGTATTGTACGGTTTATTTTATAATGAATTCTCACTTTCATTGCAAAGATGCTAACTAATTAAATATGGTTTGAGTTTGCAGTGCTAGATTGCACGCGTTCATTCAACTGCTCTTATCGAGCTCTTAACCCATTCACGTTTTACGTCCAATTCCGCGCCCATCGAATTTAGCTCGAGTTATCGTTATATTAAATTATCGTTGGGCGTTTATTTGTTTGGAGACACTTGAACACTTCGGTTCGTCGCTAGTTACATTTTGGATATAAACAAGTTATTTAAAGTTTAAAATATATACACATATAATTGTGCATAGTTGTGTGCGTTGTCATTGGCTGCGCTTGAGTTTTGGTACTTTGGACCAAGCGTAAAATCGAACATTGTTGTTTGTTTTATTTGCTTATCGGCCACAGGTACAACACCCACGCAGATTATATATTTGAGTACCGCACCGCATATTGACTCAATGTTCACATTTTTAGCAATTATGGATCGTGCAAGTCTCTATTTCCGTGGCAAGGATGACAAGAGCACGTTCAGCTATGACGATGATCTTCCCCTGCTTCCGCTGCCCGAGCTGCGGGATACCATGTCCCGTTACTACGACAGTCTGAAACCATTTGGCAGTGACGAGGAGCTGGCCAATTCACGGCGCATTATCGAGCAGTTTGAGCAGGGAGTCGGCGCTGAGCTGCAGGCAAAGCTCAAGGAACGGGCGACGAATACGAAATATTGGCTGGGCAGCTATTGGGAGGATTACGGGTATCATCTATTGCGACTGCCGTTGCTGCCCTATCAGCTCATGCTGATGCCCAGCCAGATGGTGCAAGTGGGTGTGCCAGAGACGTCCGCATATATGATGAAGGTGAGCATCATATATATTTACTAATTATATTATATACCCACAACATAATATGGTGTAGTAGATAGGACTTGTGCTACAGGGTATTTGTAAGTTCAGCTTACTTGTTCGTTCTAGTTTTGATCTGAAATCTCTGATTCCAGGGGTACAAATCATTATTGAAGTTAGATACATTTGGACTGCACGTCTTTAATTGATGAGACATTCAATTTCAGAGTCTCGCCCGTCACATTTATCACACGCTGGAGTTCTGGGACATCATACGCCATGAGGCGCTGAAGCCACTGTCCTCTAACGGTGGCAAGATCAAATACAATTCGGGATTGTACAAGCAATTCTTGTCCACGTCGCGTGTGCCGGGCTTGGAGCAGGATCACGTTGAGAAGCACTTCCGGACCAAGTCCGAGGGCAGCACACCCACGCATGTGACTGTCAGCGGCAAGGGGCGTCAGTTTGCATTTAATGGAGTGCATGAGGATGACACCATTCTGACGGCCCCGGAGATTTTGGTCATACTGCAGCGATTGCGCAGCATCCTAGACTATGAGCCGATGGGCGATGGTGTGCCTGCATTAACCAATGACGATCGCACCAGCTGGGCAAAGAATCGTAATCGGATCATTGAGATTTCCGAAGCCAACAAGGAGACTTTGAGGCTGGTGGAAAGCTCCTGCTTCGATGTCTGCTGGGATGAGAATATGCCGCAAGACACTGAGCAGTCCTCACAGATGGCCTTATACGGCGATTATCATTCACGCTGGGCGGATCGCAGCAGCTGCCTGCTGATGTTCAAGAACGGTTACCTTGTGTTTGGCGGGGAGCACAGTTGCTACGATGGCACCTTCAGTGCCAGCTTTGCCACGTTCATTCAGCTGAGCTTCTTCGAAGTGCCTGAGCCCGACTGGAACGAGGCAATTAGCTCCAAAGTCGTGGACATACAAGAGCTCAAGTTCGAGCTGGACGACAAATTGAGATCGGAGATCAAACGAGTTCTCCAAGAGGTAGAACAGCGGGTTAGTCGTTCAAATCAAATCCTGGTGTCTGCCCAAAATTTAATAGCTTTATTCATTTGCTTAGGGCGCCGATATCATTGCCACCTTTGAAGTCTTCGATGAATATGGCAAGGATTTCATGAAGACCCAGAAATTGCATCCGGATTCCTTTATGCAAGTGCTCATGCAGTGGGCCTACTACCAGATGCACAATGAGTAAGTGTTGAGAACTACAACTTGTAACGCAATATAGTTATACCCTCTGCCCATTGTCAGGATTGCACCCACCTATGAGACGGCGCTGATGCGTCACTTCTACAATGGACGCACGGAGACACTGCGCTCCTGCACCAATGCCGTACATGACTTTCTTAAGGCATCATCCGATTCGAGCACCACCGATCAGCAGTTGGTGAAAGCCTTTCGCACAGCTGTCAAAGATCACAGACATCACATGGACGAGGCACGTAAAGGCCACGGCGTCGATAGACATTTATTTGGGTTGTGGTGCGCGGCGTACGAGAGCAATATGGAGATACCCGCTCTCTACGATGATCCACTATATGCCATGAGCGGTGGTGGCGGCAATTTCGTAATATCCTCCAGCACACTGGGCTTCACGCCCAACGTGGGCTTTGTCGCACCTATGACCCTGGATGGTTATGGTGTCTTCTACGGAATTACATCCAATGCGTAAGCTGCAGCTGCTGTTGTAGATTTTCATTTATTTTCATTGAATATTTATTTCTTCTTGTAGTATCTACGTCAATTCGACTTGCTATCGGGACAGCATCAAGACCAGCGCCCGGAAATACAACATCGTATTCAGAGAATTATTCTGTCGCATTCAAAAACTCCTGGAGCAGCAGGACGAGAAATCAAATTTGTAAACAGCCGCAATTTGGTCATTTATATAATGATTAGCATTCATTAGACACAGAAGAAAAGAGTTTTCAGTTTATATGCATTCCATGCAGAGGCAGCGGATAGAATATGTTTCCTTTTACTTAAGGCACTTATCAAGCTACATCAACTTCTTGCCATCTCTTAGCCATGAGTAGAGGTTTTTAGAGGGTACTAACAAATGAAATAAGCCTGGTAGAGTGTACTATAATTTTGACGGGATTTTTTAAACTTATTGTATATTTTTGATGTCGGAAGGTTGACTCCGGTCTACAAGGGTATGCAATCTTTGGCGGGTCTAAGGTGAATGTTCTTTCTAGTTTTCTATGTTGTAAAAAGCATAATTGTCCAAAAGATACATGAAAATTCGATCCAAAACTATACAATTTTCTGCACTATATTCAAATTAATTCCATTATTTAAATTCAAAATTTAGTGAATAAGTATTTGTTATCTGTAAGATTTGAAAGTGGTTTTAGTGGTCGCTCGGAAATGAGAACGTTTTAGTTGCTGAGGTGATTGTTATTTGTAAATGTATTGTCAACAGAATTTAAATAAAAAGAAACTTCAAATAAAAATCGAAAATTATGTTTATAATTTCTTTTTAACAAGCGATCACTGTTAATGTATGCCCCAATTATATAGCAAACAATAATAATTGTGGAGTTTTCAATATTTTCGGTTTTTCTTTTTTTCAGTGTTTTACAACGTTTATTGAAATTCAAATGTTCAATGATTGATTACAATTCACGATAAATTCAACTTCAAAATGCGACTATAGTTGGTATCTCATATATTTTAAGCGCCGGAGACATGCCTCTGGTTAAAAATTCATCATAATTGCTAAATGAGCCACACGACTTGCACTCGATTACTAGATAGATATATGTTTGTATGTGTATATATATGTATGTATGTAGTGTATATGGATATATATACGGATTATGTGAAAGCTGAAATCCGGAGCATGCGACTACGATTACTCTCGACTGCAGTTAGTTCGATTAAGTGCGTCTACTAGCTAATTACAAATGTGTGTGTGAGTCTGGGTTTATCTTAAATGTACATGTATAAAAAGAAGAGTTCAATTTTCGAGGGTCACAGACCCACCCTGGGGGGCAAAAGAAACAAAAAAAAACTTGTGGCGAGATGCACGGGCGGATGCACTGCGTCTGCGCTTAGTGGGCGTGATAGTAGCCAACGCCAAGTGACGACAGCATTGCGTAATCATTGGACATGTCGTGAGCTCGACTGCGTCCACGCTGCTGCTGTTGCCGCTGGTTGGCATAGAGTTCCACTCAATCCTGCCCAGGCACCGTCACAGCCTGATGATTCTGCTCGCTGCTGGCGACTGCAGCAACTGATGCTGCTGCTGTTGCTCCTCCTCCGCCTCCTGCACTTGATACTGGTGCCGCAGCAATGGCCGCTGCTGGCTCTTCGCTCGTTGCTTTGGCTGGCGCTGGCGACAAATCTGCTCCAACTGGTGGCGGCTGAAATGCTGGCCGCTGCACAAACATGTTGTCAATGATGTGATCAATATTATCTCCACTGCCACTGCTCGCTCCATCGTCCATGGTGCGGGCGGCACGCGTCTTGTGCTTTTCGGAGGGTGGCAGTATGGGAATCGCATTTGTGGGTCGACGCTGGGGCAGCACGGCTGGCCGCGTGGTTGCCTGTGCCGGCGGCACAAAGTACGTGGTGCCACCAACTGTATTGTAATTTTGGTGATAGTTAAGCGACGGTGGTCCGGATTGAGCCGCCTGAACACCCGATGGAGCAGCTTGCGGCGCAGACTGTGGCTGCTGCTGTTGTTGCTGCTGTTGTGTGACCACTGCCGACTGTGCTTGGGCGTAGGCCACGGCTGCAGGCGTGGGCGGCAAATAGCCAGCACTGGCCGAATTCACGTACGGCGCCTGGGGCACAGCGACGGGCACAGAGACGGGTACAGTGACAGAAACGGGCACCGGCACCGGCTCTCCGCTGGTCACATAATAGGGCGCTGTGGGCGCCTGTGTGTAAGCTGTTGCCGCTTTGGGTTGTGGCACCGATGGCACCGCTGTCGGCGGCACTGCTGCACCCAGTTGTAGGTTTTGCAGTTGCGCCTGCAACTCTTGTTGCTGATACGCAATTTGCATGAGCATGTGTGGATCCTGCAGCAGCAGCTGTGATTGTTGCTGCTGCTGCTGTTGTTGCTGCTGCTGCAGCTGCAACTGTTGCTGTATTTGCTGCTGCTCCGCCAAGTGATGTTGTTCTTGCTGCTGCTGTTGTTGTGTTGCCTCGTGTTGGGAGCGTCGCAAGCTGGAATAACGTTTGGGTCCATTGCGTTGCTCCGTTGGCAACGTTTGTTGCTGTTGTGTCAGATGCAATTGTTGTTGCTGCTGTTGTTGTTGTTGCTGCTGCTGTTGTTGTTGCTGCTGTTGCTGCTGTTGTTGTTGGTTCTGCGAGGCCAGCGAGTGCATTTGAACGCTGCCAACATGGCTGGGATCGTTGCGCTGCTGCACCTGCTGCAAACGCGTTTGCACCTGCTGCAAACGCTGCGACAGATTCGAGGTGACCAAAGGTGGCTGTTGCTGCTGTTGCAGCTGCAACTGTTGCTGCTGCTGCTTCGAGGGCTGCTGTTTCGACTGCTGCTGCTGTTGTGGTTGTCTCTGTTGCTGCTGTTGTTGTTGTTGCTGCTGCTGCTGCTGCTGCTGCTGTTGCTGCTGCTGTTGGTGTGTTGGCAAATCAATGATTTGTTTGGCTGCGCCATTTGGTCTGCTCAGCTGATAATCCCGATCCGAGCGCTGATCCGCATAATTTCGATGCTCGCCGCGATTTGACTTTTGCTTGAACTCCATGGCGTTCTGGCGAGCACCACCACCACCGCCACCGCTGCCCCTGCCATAGTTTCGATTCCTTGGCTCACGGTCGCGAGTCTCGTGGTTTTTACTCGAACTGCCAGCAGCAACATTGTTACCCAGTTGTTGTTGCTGCTTCTCGGCGGCGGCCGCAGCAGCAGCCGCAGCGCGACGCTCGCCGCGATTCTCCTTCTCCTCGCGCGAAGCGGACGTCCGGCGAGGACGACGATGGCTGTTGGTGGCGTTGCTGCTGCGCTCGTTGAGCGCAGGAAAGTCCTGGGGACGTGGCGGCTGTTTACGCTCCTTGTTGCTGGCCTTGAGGTACGCCTGCTCGTCCTCCCAATTGCGCGAATATTTGCTCGGACCGCGTGTATAGCGACGGCGTCGTCGTGCACGTGGCGCCGCATCCTCGTTGCGTATGTCATAGCCATAAGATTGCATGAGTTCCGCACGCGTTTTAGGCGCCTGTTCGCTGGCCTCGAAGCGATCGTGCGACCAACGATCACCACCCGACGCCGGTTGCCACTTCTTCATCGTTTTGGATGCCTGCGATATGGTCGGCGGTTGGCCGGCGGGTGAGGCACCACCATCGCCATTGGTCACATCCGGAAAACTGGGCTCCAGCTGAGACTGGACCCCATCGTTGTCGGCATCATGATTGCCGGCCCCATCGCCCTCCGTTTCGGCGGTGCGATCATCATGCTCGTAGAAGGTGCCACGTTTGGGTATATATTGTGGATTGCTGCGATCCTCGTCCACTTTCTTTTGTGCCTCCGTCTCGGCTGCCGTTCGTTCCAACCCATTGCCACTTACCGTGCCGCTGCCGAGATCGTCCTCATCGTCATCATCGTCCTCCGACTCGCTTTGGCCATCGTCATCGTCGTCGGTTTCGGTTTCCTCATCGCTGGCACTCTCATCGTCATCGTAGTCTCCGTCACCGCCCTCCAGATCGCTGGCCGTGTCATATTCGGAGTCGTGCGGATGCGAATTGCTTGACGGCTCCTGGGTGGGCGAGGTGCCCAGCTCGATGCCGCCCGCTTCGCTCGCGTTCGGCGATGGGACGACGTTGGGTATAGGTATGTCGGTCGGTGGAGCTGCCGGCGCCGTTGTCATTTTCTCAACATCGGCCATCGCAAGATGCAAATTTGTCGATTCTTCGATTTTTTTTTTTTTTTTTGCTTATGCTTTTTGCTGTCGCTGCAAGGATTTTAATCAATCAATGTTTAATTCTTAGGTTGCCTACTCATTCACTCACACGTTATTTGTACGTCTTTCGCTCTAGATTTTTTACTTGGTAGGTTTTCGATTGTCGTTTAAGTTATATGCATAAATCTCTTATTTTCACCCAGTTTTCTTCAACAACAACGCAATCAGAAAATAGAAAGTGTCTAGAGTTGACATTAGGCACTGGGGTTATGGCAGAGTTGTCAGCTGGCCGGTATTGCTACACATTCACAATGAATAACACAATTGCAGTCCACTTAACATTTCTGCACTTAACAGTCAATTATTAGCAGGTTAACAGAAATTTGCACAAATCAAATAGATTCTTAAATTGTAAGGAATAAAATTAATAGATATGATGGTGGCAATGGTGTATTTACTTATGTCAAATATACGTCAATAACTATTTACTATTATCAACTATTACTATTAAACAATATTATATACAATAATCCGTTAGTAGAATTTTAAGCTACGTCTTCAGACACTGCAAACTTCACATAATGTTATCACATTAAGCAGAACTGCTCCACGCTTAACAGTCCTGAATTACTCAGCGCGAATTGTTCGTGTACTTCGGTAACCCTGTCCGCAGATGATGAGACACCGAGCAAAGCAGAGAACACCACAGAAGATAAATCAAGTTTTCGTCTGCTAAGCTAAATTCGTCTGCTGTTTTTTTAAAATAAATTTAGTATAAATCAAACCAACGCAATGTCCAAGTTGCTGGGTATACCGCTGAAGAAACCGTCCGAGGTGGACATTATAAAGCCACTAAACAATCTGATACAAAGCACCTACAATGGAGCCAGCGCCGAGGAGACGGCGCAATATGCGGAAGCAGTCAATGAATTTTCTAAGCAACGCAATACGGCAATTTGGAAGTTTTTCGAGAAATACGAAGCATCTCTAGAGGTCGTCTATAGGTAAGTCAATTTAAGCAAAATATTATTGGCAAGTGATCTTTGCGGATTACCACCTATGACTCATATCGGTTGATAGCCGGACAAGCTGTAATTAATCATTTGTGTGTGTGTGCAAGAGAGAGAGACAGCCAGAAAGAGAGTTAGGAAGAGAAACAGAGAGAGGAAGAGAAGGGGCAGACATAAACATAAGAATGACGTAGTCTTTTAATTAATTTGGTTTCATTTCTTTTGTTATTATATATATAGTTACTACGATCAAATATGCGCGTTGGAAACAAAGATATCAGCCAACGAACTGCAAATACCGTTCAAGTGGAAGGATGCCTTTGACAAAGGCTCCATTTTCGGTGGCAAAATTAGCCTGAGTAAGTTAAAAAAAGAAGTTGATTAAAATAAGTAACCGGTTTGTACTTAACCACACCTCTATTTCCCACAGCTCATACCTCGCTGCTGTATGAGAAGGTTTGTGTGCTCTTCAATATTGCCGCACTGCAGAGCAGCGTCGCCTCCAGCCAGCAACTGGACACCGATGAGGGCCTCAAGCTGGCCATCAAACTGCTCCAGCAGAGCGCCGGCATATTCCAGTATTTAAAGGGTGCAACACCAGCAGCGGTGCCGTCGGAGCCAACGCCCGATTTGAGCCAGGACACGTTGATTGTGCTGCAGGCATTGATGGTCGCTCAGGCCCAAGAAGTTTTCATACTGAAGGCAATTAAAGGTAAATTAAATATAATTTTGTTAAGAATGTTAATGTATATTGAAAATCAGACAAGTTGTTTCAAACTTAAAGCTATATATAAGCTATAGCTATATTATCATTTAACTATAATTGAAGCAATTTATCATAAGTTGCTTTAAGTTTTTAATGATCTTAATCCCAATTACTCTCACACGTTCCACAGACAACATGAAGGACCAGATTATAGCGAAACTATGCTGTCAGGGTGAGGAGTTCTATGCGGATGTACTGCGTGCCATGCAGCGGGAGTCGGTGCGCAGTCTGTGGGAGAAGGACTGGATACCCACAGTGGCTGGCAAGCAGGCGGGTTTTCATGCGCTGACGCAGCTATATCAGAGTCTTGTCTGTCGCTCCGCGAAGCGGATTGGCGAGGAAATTGCACGTCTGCGTAATGCGATCGATCTGTTCAAGGCAGCGCAGTCGCGTGGCGGCAACGAGACCTTTCTGGATGAGTATTTCAGTCGGGCCAAGCGCAATCTGGCCGAGTCCACCAAGGACAATGAGTTTATTTACAATGAGATGATACCGGAGTTGAGCACACTTGCCTCACCGGGCAAGGCGCAGCTGGCGAAGCCGTTACCCATGGCCAGTCCAATGGCTGGAAACTTTAGGGACATCTTCAAGAATCTGGTGCCCGTTGAGTTGCATCGTGCGCTGACCGCTTCCGATATGCGCAAGAACGAAATTGTCAACGTGGAGATCATGAAGTTACGCGACGCTACGCAAACCCTAAATGCCGTCCTGGCCAGCTTAAATCTGCCGGCCGCCGTCGAGTCGACGGACAGCAACAGTGGATTGCCGCCATCGCTGCTGGAGAAGGCGAAGGAGGTGCACGAAAAGGGTGGCATTGAGAGTGTGCAGTCGTTGCTCAAAGATCTACCCGAGCTGCTCAATCGCAACCGTGAGATCCTGGATGAAACAGAGCGTCTGCTGGACGAGGAACGCGATTCGGATAACCAGTTGCGTGCACAGTTCAAGGAACGTTGGACACGCATCAGCTCGGACAAGTTGACCGAAATGTTTCGCACGAACTCGAAGAAGTATCGCGAGGTCATCACCAATGCCATCGAGGCCGATAAGGTGGTGCGCCAAAAGTTCGAGGCGAACCAGAAGGGCATTGAGCTGCTCTCACTGCCACCGGAGCAAATACATCAATCGTTGCCCTCGGCCAGCGGCAGTGTGGATCCGAATTGTTCCAGTGTGCAGCGTCTCAAGCAGTTGATGGAGGCCGTCGAAACGATTAAGGCGGAACGCGATACTGTCGAAGCGGAACTCAAGTCGGCCACGTTCGACATGAAGGATGAGTTTCTGCAGGCGCTGCAAAAGGATGGTGCCATCGATGAGCCCGCCCTGTCGTTGGCTCGCATCGGTCAGACTTTGAATCCGCTGCAGCAGCAGGTCAAGGAGAGCGTGGAGCGACAACAGCCGCTTGTCAGCGACATTCAGAGCGCCCACAGCGCCTTCGTCTCGGAGACGGGTAGCTGTGGTGGATCGCGCGATAAGCTGTACCAGGAACTGGCCACTGCTTACGACAGTTACATTCAGCTCTCTGGCAATCTGCAGGAGGGCACCAAGTTCTATAATGATCTGACCCAGTTGCTTGTCGTCTTTCAGAATAAGATCAGTGACTTTGTCTTTGCACGCAAAACCGAAAAGGAGGAGCTGCTCAAGGATCTGACCACAGAATCCAGTCGCCAGGCGCCACCAGCGACACCATCTCTACCATCACACTATGCATCCACATCTGGCAGTGGCAGCGGTAAGTCAGATATATCCTAATCCTAATCCTAATCTAAAATCAACTCTATTCCTCTGTTCTGGTATATTATGCATAGAAGCAAAGTTTGCCTTTTTATGGGGTTTAATGAAGTTATGCAAAAGTATGTATATATATATTCTTTATCAGCATCAAGAGGTGAGCTGATCTAGCCATGTGCGTATGTTCGGGCCTATAAGAGTTAAACACTTTATGTGAGGAATGTAATACTTTAAAAGACAGATCAAGCTTGTTTTATTTTATATTGATAACTGTTCCCGTTTCACAAATATCGATTAAGGGCAAGCTAATAGATACTTGCATGCCTATAAATTCCTTAATTTTGTATACAATTATTTCTTAAGTATCATTTTGTAGTAAATGAAATCGTATTCAGTATTACTCACAACGCTGTAAATCCCCAAAATCTATATCTACAACGGTCTTAGTCACAACACTCATTTGATATCAAACAGAAGTTTTTGATTGTCTTTTGCTTATCTTATCTGATTACCTCGTTATGTTCTTATCTCTTGCTAGATATTCCAAGTATGCCCCCTGCTGGTGCTCCAGCCGCAACAGCCGCCGCTATGGCCCCAGGAAATATGCCGTATCCGGCGCAGGTGCACATGCCGGTTCCATATGGCGCCTCACCGGGAGTGCCGTATCCGACTTACGTGCCACCACCCATGCCGCAGAGCTTCAATCCGTATGCCACCTTGCCATATCCGGGCAGTGAGTATCCCAAAAGTACTTCAACTGAAAGCAACACTAATTTATTGTCATTTTCATAGATTATCAATATAGTGGCTTCCCGCAGGGTCCACCACCCGGCAGCTATGGCACCTATCCGGGCAGTTTTGCGCATCAACAGGGCGGCTATCCCAACCAGAAGCCACCCGGCTGGTAAAAAGTGCTCATCAGATTCCCTCACATAAATATATTACCCGCGCACTGTGTTTAGCCCGTGGCTCCATTTGCATAAATATAAAGGTATATATATATATATATATACATATACATATATATATATTCTGTTCTTGGTGAATCTAGATTCAATGGCAACCAATCGTTGGTCAAGGCATTAAATGCAATGCATCCACATGTTGTGTTTCAAATTGTATCATATAAACATCGTATATTAAATTAAAGGCTTAATTGGATTTTAATCTCAAATACCTATCACAATAAACGTTACGTCTCACTATGACCCAATCTCCGATAGAATTCTCCCTTGATCGTTGCAATGCAACGCGCAGAGCACATGCTATTAATCAACAGCTCCAACCTTGAATTGAGCACCTGCTGCTCAGAGCTGCCATCGCATCGCTTGGAATTGCTCTCCAGGAGCTGCGAATATGCCTCCTTGGACATGACATCCACGGTGCACAAACGCTCCTCAACATTATCGAGCAGTTGCTGGACTTTGCTCTGGCTGAGATAGTCACTTGTCCATAGTTTGCGCCCGCTGGCTGAGCTCTGCTGCTGCACTGCCCGCTCGAACTGGTCGAAGAGTGTGCTGGCCGAGGGCGCAATCTCATCCAGCTGATTGGGATTCAGCAGATATTGTTTCACCTCGTCGCTTTCGCCTTTGACAAAGCTCTCCACGATGTGTTTGACCAACAGCTCGTCCAGTGTTAGATCCATGTCAGCCTTCAGCGGCACCCAATAGTTGACGCTGAGCGATGTCTCCGCCGCCTCCACGTAGTGCCACCAGTGTCGTGGCACAATCAGCACATCGCCCGGCTGCAACAGGCAGTGATGAGCCTGCGCCTGAAACTGTTCATAATGGCGCAGATTATGTGGTGCGGGTGCATAGAAATTCTCCAGGCAGTAGACACTGGACTCCTCGTAAGGAATTCGCGTGCATTGCAGCGGCGTCTCGGGCGGAAAGAGCAGCCAGGATTTGCAGCCAAAGGCCTGCACCACAATATTGACGCCATACGTGTCGTAGTGACACGGCGTATTGGCGCACGCCGATCCTAGCCACAAGCTGTAATCATTTTGATGCTCAGCGAAGCCAAAGCATTTGAAATCGATGCCTGTCAAACAGCTCGGAGGCAGTTCGTTAGCCCGCTTGTATTGATAGGCGGCCCATTCGGTGGGTGCCTCTTTGCCCACCCCTTTTGTGGCATACTTCTCCAGAAACTGTTGCATCGTCATCCGGACACGGGATCTCTTTCGCTCCCATTGTGGCGTGGCGCCATCCGCAATGGAAATTGCCTCAAATACCGGCAAACTGGAATCATTTGAAGCTTTGTCATAGCGTGCGCACCACTCCTGCAGCGAGTCTTGAAAGCACTCCCAGTGGTTGGGGAAGTCCCGCAGAACTAGCGGCACATGTGTGTTGAGAATTATGTCGCGTAATTTAGAGGACATGGAATAAACTGTATTGTTTTGTTTTTGGCGAATTTGCCGGGCATAAAAATCAGCTGTGTGATAAGCGTTGCCAACTGTTATCGATGATGGCAGCCCTGTTCTGCTTAGCCAAAATGCAAATGCCAAATAGATGGCGCCAGCTAACGTCAATTAAATTTGAATTTAAATTTAATATTCCATTTCAATAAAAGCATTTACAAAATGTAATCAAGTTTTTTCGCCTCATATAAGTTAATTGAATTAATGCTTATGTTATTCTCACCTATTGACATACATACATGCATGTGATCAAATTAAGAAACACTTACAAAACCAAATGTAAATACAATTAAGTAAAACGTTATTTTAATTAGTGCGCATTTTCGAAATTACATAATTGGAATCAAGATTGCGTGTAAAACAAGTTCTGCAGATCAAGTTGTACTTGTTGATGCCTCTTCGCACGCAAACCAAACCTGCCCCGTTACTGATTGCTTGTGCCTCTCTTGTTGTTGTTTTTGTTGCTGTTGGATTTTTATTCCTTTTTTTTATATCGTTGTCATAGTTCTTAGTACTTGGCTCTAAGCAACACTTTGAGATAATTATTTTGATATGACAGGCGGAAATGGAATGGCGTTAACGTGTTGCATCTACTGCGGCAAGTGGTCTTTATCGTTTCGTATCAAGACTTAAAGCTTTACTTGTTTGTACTTGTTTCGCAGTTTGGTATTAATTTACATTTATCGCAACGAATATTATCTGACTGCAATGTGGCATTTGATCGCATTTGATGATATAACTGTTGTCACCGGTGTGGACGGGAAGGAGATTGTAGGGGGATTGTGCGCTGCTTGGCAATTTGCATTCGTTCTGGCCATAAAAAATAATCAATGGATCTGCGACCCCAAACAGACTCGACGCCACGCCCCTTCCCCTGCCCCGCCCTGTCGATAAGCTCATCAGCTGATGGCATTTGTCATAAATGTGATTTATGTTTCATTCTCTTTTTGCACTTTTCTTTCCTTTTTTTGTTGGCCACAAAAGAACAAGTCATTAAATCTACTTAAGATGGGCACTTAATGCGCCAGCTACAGATACATGTACACTGTAAGAAAAATGCAAGTGAGTTATTTTCTTATCTGGTACGAATTTGCAAAAAAATATAAACAGAATTTGATAGAACATGATTTATTGATCAAGATTAATACTTTTATTTACAATGATTTATTTTTTGAGCACAAAAAAATCCCAGAATAACAAGGAATAAATATTCTAATTTTTTCAAACTCCATTTTCATGCCAACTTCATAAATAATATATATCCTTGAACTGCATCAGTTGCAGATTCGATATAGCCATGCCCGTCTGCCCGCCCATACGTCTGTCCGTCGATCTGTCTGCTTGATTTGTATTGTTTATATAAGCAAAACTCCTTCAGCTAAGAATATATTGATTAAACTTGGTATATATACTTTTTTTACTTCCATGACAACGAGGTGATCGAACGGATCGAACCACTATATTAAATAGCTGTCTTCGGAAAAATCAGTCGAAGATTTGTTTGCGTATGAAACAATTCTATTTTACCAATATATCCAGAGAAAACTCACTACTCATTATTATATGCCTCTTATTTTCAAAAAGAAATTATCATAATCGTATCATTATATCATATAGCTGCTTAAGTTTTGGGATCGAGATAGGCGTTGGCTCTGATGTCCACTTTTCCGAGACAATAATACTCCAGAAATGTGAAATATTCAGTTCACAGCCAATGTTCATAATCATATTTCAGCAGCTTAATTGCTAAGAGTATATAATTTTCGATGAGTCAAAGTTAATCGTTCATTCGTGTTCAGATTTTAAATCAACTAAATTCCATTTATTTCTTCTTTCACAGTATTATTGGCACGTTTTGATCCAGACTCGAGTCGTTTATCTTAATTAATTGTAATCCTCGTATTTCCAATCATACGTATTAGCTGTTATATTTGTCGCAGTGTACACATGCAAAGTCGCTGGGTGAAAAGTTCAATGTACGTGAGTCAGCAGCAGAACCGGCAGCGATGGAAAATCGTCAGGCAAGCCAAGAAAAAACAATTATGCGGCAAAAGTCGCAAAAAAAAAAAAGAAAAAAGTAAATAGAATAAAACAACATTATTTATGCGCCAGTTTGGAGGTGCGGCTTCGGCCGTCTTATTTTTTGTCGTTTCCCGAAAGAACATATTTTATATATGATTATTATCATTACGCGTGCGACTTAAAAGCATGCTTGCAGATACATATGTATATCTGTCTGTGTGTGTGTGTGTGTGTGTTTGTAAGCTTTTTTATCTGGTAAATGAGATACTGCGCATGCGCAAACTCGCTCGCCTCATTTCCGTTTCCAGGCGACTGACTGCCTCTTAATGCGGCGATCTAGCTCAGGGCTCAGCCAGAGCACTCCCAGGCACGAGTACAGGGCGACAAGGCACACATCATATAATTAGCCAGCAAAATTCTTTACAAAATTGCTCACGTTACGCCACTTGAACAGCTTCGGGAGGAGTTGCCAAAAAAAAAACAACAAAAAAAACGTAATCAAGTTTTGCTTTCAGGCGCCATTGGGGCATTCTTTCGCATACTGTATCTGTATCTGAATCTCAGACTTGAGTGTCAATCTGCTCTTGGCTGTCAACTCTTTGTGTTGTTTTGTTTTGGGTTCTGTGTCAATAAACTGTGGGCAGCGCATTATATGCACTCAGCAAAAAAATTGACTACAATTGTTGTAAAAATCTTGGCTTGATTTGTACTCTAATTTTTCACTCGAAACAAATAATATTTTTTATGTAAACTTGGCAGTTATGTACGATTGTTCTTTATTTAAAGCAGTGGCGTCCTAAATTAAGACCATGAATACTTTAAGTAGATACATAAAAAAGTATTTATCTGGTTCCAAGCTAACTATTTGTAAGTGAGTCATTATCAGTGACTCCGAAATCTGTGGAGTTTGAGATATTTAGTGTTTTTTAAGCAGCTTAAATCAACTTGTTGTAGAATTCACAATAAATACTTTCCTTAAGTGTGCTAATGTAAAAAAAAAATAGATATTTGTTGTTTTAAATCAGTCGTCATATTTATTTACCAAAACAAATTCGTGCATGCACTTAAACATACGATTAGCTGATATAAGTATTATAAGATTTCCAGTTGATTGATAGTCACAGGTTTATATATAAAAATTAGTTGATTTCATAAACAGAATACATCTCCACACTCCTAGTTTGATGTCAGGACGGAAATACTCGAAACTAAGACTGGAACTCTCAACTCGTAGTCGGTTATTCAATTGTTGTATACGAGTTGTATACATAAATAAAAAAAGATTATATATATATATATAATTAGTAGATGCCCACACCACACAGTCTTATAGATGGATACGAATTAAGTGAAAGTTAAACTTATGATATGATATTCTGATAGAACTGCGGTTTCGTCTGGTGCTCCTTGATCACATAGAAGCCCTTCGGTTTCCCATTGCCCGCAAAGTATTTGTGGAAACTTTGCTTGTTGACCGCTTGAGCGGGTGCATAATATGTGGGTGATTTTTGCTTCAATGATTTTCGATACTTGGATTTGCCGGTGCCCGTTGTGAAACTCTTCTCGATGGTGTCATTCTCCCAGGGTTTGCGCCACGTCGGTATGTTCTCAATATCCAGCAAGCGATTGCGATCCTCTTGCGATACGTGAGCAAAATGTGGTTTCTTGTGCAGCGCCTGCTTCAGAACGGGCAGATTCCAATGATAGATACGACCCGGCCGGCCATTCGAGCTAAACGGAAACGAGACCTGAAAAACAAAAAGCATGCATTCCTTATTAACTGAATGAACTCGATAGCATTTCATTAAGTTGCGTACTACGCATTTTAAGTCAGATTACAGTCGATCTTCGCTAAGTGGAACATTCTCTCATGTTACATTCTAAAATTATACACATTTGTTTTGATTACAATCGCAATGCGTACGAGATGCTGGGAAAATGACCTACAATCAGTATAATCAATATTGATTCTTTTTTATGGAAGGGAATAGATTTTCTTCGTTGTGTGCCACAAATAATACTTAATCTAAGCAAATGTCGCATTTTACTAGAGCTTTCCAAGTACTTTCAAATTGACAGTCTCACATAAATTTTGTGTGTTTGCCAGGTTTGAGTTAGAGATGTTTGACTGTGACAGTAACTTGCAACATTGGCATTAGCCATATAAGTTAACATCTGTGTGTATAACTAAGGCCTTGAAGCGCACCATAAATTAGTCAAAACTAATTGCATTTTTTAATTGAAGCATCGCTGGCTTGCTTAATGGTTAATGGGCTTCACTTGCATATTCATTTGCAGCGGGCACCGTGAGAGAGTAATAATTTCTTAGGCCTGCAACATCCTTCCAGCAATCACATTGACACAACAAAAAAAGGAAAAAAAAAAGAAAAAAAAATGGAATTTGCTGTGTATATAAATAGCTGAGACTGTGGCGAGCCTGTCAGTGGCATTACCACTGCCGACTGTCGACTACCAACTGCCGACTGTCGATTGCTGACTGCCACTGGCTGGCCAGTGGTGCAACTTGGCAACTGCCACAAGAGTGTCTGCTGGAAGCTGTAGGCTATGTCCGAAGTTGGTAAGTCGGTCGCAAGTTGGCCGGTTAGCCATTTGTTGTCTATATGGGTGAGTCATGAATGCAGCATTCGACGAAATGCATTTGGCCCAAATGGGTAATTCATTTTGCTGCTCTTTGTTCCCCCTTTTTCTGTTTGTTCCAGTGTTGGGTGCCGTGCTGTATTTCGTGACACGAGCACGCACATTGCAAAACGATATGTTCGTGTTTGAGATAAAAAAAAGAAGACAGATAAAGAGTTTTACTTTAAAAGTGAGAACTATCAATATTGCAATCTGCTGTTAAGTTAATTTCTGACGGGATACCAAATATGTCGGTTGATAAAAACATAACACAATCTCTCGGATTGGAGACAGCTAGATACATATTTAAATTAAATTAATAGAATATAATGGGGCATTTCTCATAACTAACCATATCTATCTCAATATAATTAAAATCTGTGCTCTACAAAATTTGAATAACATCAAGAAGTAAGAATACAATAACCCGGACTAAACGTGGTTCATTCTAAAATCAACTGAAATATTTAATTTGATCGTAAAGGCTCAAAAGATATAGCAGTTCTTATGATAATTTACCATATCAATATCACCATTAGGTTATCAATATTTCTTAAAAAAAACCTTGATTTTACAAAATGTTAACCTCAATTGAATCTCAAGTTAGTAATGTGTTCTTAAAAATGGGAATGAAACTAAGAACATAAGAAGACAACGAATTGATTTCAGTATTGTTCCTTCTGTTGAATCAGTTGTTATCATGATCTACTAAATCAATCTGAAGATTACTTTATTATTTACAAAATGTTGATTGTAAAAAATGCTAAGCCCAACTGAAGACCTTGATTTAAAAAAAAGTTAAGCTCAAATTCAAATTCAAAAATATGAAGTAAAATGGCAGCAAACTGAACTCAAGGTTGTTCATTCCAGAAATTAAGTGACTCAGTGTGGGAATATATTCTTTGCTTAAGCTGCACTTAAAATATATTCTTGATTGATGATTCAGGCTGGGAATAGCTGGAAATATTTTCTTGGCTTAAGCTGTGTGCATATTATATTCTTGATATTATGATTTTTTTTTTTTTTTTTGTTAGCTGCGATACAGTTTTCAACGAGCGTTGTTTGGTTGTTGGACAAATCCGACACGCACCCATCACTTACACATGCATATGTATGTGTATGTGTGTTTATGTGTGTGTCTCTTAAGTGTGTTTGTTCTGTTGTTTATTTTTTTTTTTTTGCAATTTGTTTTGCTGCACATGCGCGCGCGATGTTTATCGCCAGTTGGCTGTTGGCGTGGCCAAGAATCGACCGGGCCAGGGCAGTTTTGGCTGGCTGGCTGGCTGGCTGACTGGCAAGAGATATTAGAGCCAGTTCTTTGGATTGTTTTTTTTTTCTTTCTTTCTGTTAGTTGTTGCTGTTGGTGTAAGACCTAATGGAATCCCGTTTACCTTTTTCCCGTTAGTTTTCAACGCCGACGCCTCCGTTGCCGCAACGGCCTCCGCTCCGGGCGCATTCGAAATCTTTTGTGCGTTGTCGTGTTGCACACTGTTGGCCATCGGATGAGGCATTACCTTTGGGGCAGCAACAACATCCAATGCATTCCGTGAACTGCTGCTGCCGCCGCTGCTGCCGCTGCTGCTGCTGCTGGGCGCTGTATAATAGTGCAGATTTGGCGGCAGTTTGATGATGAACATATGTGAATCATCCCGTGATGCGTGACGTCGTGATTCAACCGCCAGCCGTTTCCGGTTATGGCTGTTGGGCGCCTTAACCTTCATGAAGCCCATTTTGCTGCAAGTGCAACGCAACGAAAGAAATGATAATGAAATGCAGAGAAATAGAGTTATATATATAGTTTCAGTTGGGGGTGGGGCGACAGCTCGTCTGTCTGGCGAGTTCTAAACGTTTACCCTGAATATTTCATAATATAATTTATGCCCGCACAGACACGCCAACAACAACAACAACAGCAGCAGCAGCACCAATCGTGGCATGCAACAGTTTTGCTGTTGTTCTTGTAGTTTAGCACTAGACACGTTGCATTAATTAAGCCCAAAATGAGGGGTGCGCCCCTTTTTATCCTCTGCCGAACGATATATGATTAGTTGCCTTATACCCTTGCAGCGGTTGCTCAAATTTGATAATTTATTAAATAACTGAAAAGCTACGCACTTTATTATGCTGCTATAAAATGTTTATAACAAACATATATCAGCAGGAGTTTACATTTTTTTATTATACTACGGCTATAATACCCGTAGTATAATAAAAAAATGTACTATATATAAGGTATACTTCTAAGATTCTTTCTGCTACAATTCCAAAAAAATTATTTAAAAAAACAGGTAAACATCAGCAATATGCATAAGCTTATCTGCTTTTCTTCTGTTTATTTTATTTTACTACAATCCAATGTATACTTTTTTTTTTGAGTGTACATCTCGAACGACACAGGCAACCAACTTAAATTGGATTTTTATGAATACAAGTTGTAACTTTTTTAATATATCTGCAAGGGTATTTAATCTGCGGCAAGCATAAAGATAAATATATTTATCATGTTCAACACTCACTTGAGCAGCTTTTTGTTGAGTCCGTGTGCGCCTCTTGTCAGTGGTTTTTGTTGCTTTGCGCCAGTCAAACGAGCTGCAACAGCATCACTTCGCAGCTGCAGCTGCTGCTGCTGCTTCTGGTGCAACTGCAACTGCTGCTGCTGCTGCTGCTGCTGTTGGTATTTGTCCTGCCTTTTGTATTTGTTGATGTGCGTGGTATCCTTGGGAATCGCTGCCGTTGGCCTTGCCATTGACTTTGGTGAAGAGTGGCTGCCACCGCCGATTCCGCTACCGCTCCCATTGCTGGCCTGTGCCACTGCAGCGAGGCAAAGGAAGCAGCTTAAACTGCAAAATGAAACATTTTTTATGGTTGGCCCTTTTTATACGCCAGTATTTTTGGATTTTATATGCGAAACTCTATAAGAGATTAAGCCGCTTGGTGAGACTGGGGTTTCTGGTCAGCGTTCTGCATTCTGCTTGGGGCTTAGGTTCAGGGTCAATCAAACGACAGAGGCTTCCACATTCGATTGCCAAGTGTGCAGTTGGCCTGTAATCCAAGTCAAGTGCCAACTGAATGCAATTCGTGTTGAATTTGCGAGGCGGCCAAACCTTTGAAATTGTAAACCCAACGAACGTACAAATGACCGACCGACTGACAACTGGCCCTCCGGAGCATACTACAGTGGAGCAAAGCTACAGTGGTCAATCAGGTGATTGAAAATGAGCGAATAGTTTGAATTTCGATTCTAGAGTGAAGTAAAGTATTTAAATTAACTGCCAAATTAAATAAATATAAGTAGATATAAAGAGTTTTTAGTATATTTCAAGTTAATACTTGTAAGAAATAATTAATTATATATTCCAACAACTACCAAAAAAATTAAATACAATTAAAAAATATAAGCAGAGTTCTAGGTATATTGTACGATAATGTTTGTTAATATTTGTGCATTATATTTAAATTATTTCCGTTAACTCCCACAAAAATTTAATAATTTAAAAAGTAAGGAAATTTCGAAGTGCATTTTAAGATAATATTTGTATGAAATTTGGCAAAATAACCAAGCAAAAATGAAATGTAAAAAGTGAGAACAGCTCTTGGCATATTTTCTATGCATTGTTTAAATAGATTTGCTGCAAGAATTATTTTTTTCTTGCTACTGTTATTTTGTTAGAGTGAAGACTGTAAAAAGTTATATTTTTGTTGTTGTTTCTGTTGTTGTTATTAGGGCCCACAAGTCATAAGGAAGAAAGCGCAAAGCAGACCGGCAAAAAATGCAAATGAGCACGAACAAAAATACACACACACACACACACACACACACACACACACACACACACACATATTCAAACTAGTCAATTACAATGTAATCTGTGTGTGCAAAATGAAAAGTTGAGGAAACGATCATAGACGAAAGTCACATGCACTACACGATTCAGTGGAAATGAATGGATGAATGATGGATGGATGGATGGATGGATGGGCGGATGGGCGGATGGATGACAAATGGGGTGTGAGAGAATTTCACTTAGTCGTAAGTAGAAGAAAAACATATTGACAAGAAAGTATGTACGAAAGTACGGACTGACAGAGTGCTCTAGAAAAGCATTGGGCTGCGCCAATCGATGTCGCTCAGCGAAAAGTTATTGACCGACTAAGTAGTTGACCATATCCACATGCCCACCAGGCCGTAAGCGACTCAATCAACAAATTATACTGGACACATACCACACATATCAGAGCTTACATACATATGTATGTATATATAAGCATATTGACGAAGTTTTATGCATCGAATGTAACCGAAGGCGACCACAGAGGAACGACGTGCCTGGCATTTGGCAGTGGGTCCCAAGACAAGACTCTCATCCCCAAGTAAAGTTTCTCACACACATAATGCATGCAATGTTCTATGCGAAATACAAAAAAAAAAAAACTTAAAAGAAAGCTGTCTTTCCTAGCGTGACGAACATTTAATACTCTAAGAAATTGTGCTCAATTTTAAAAATATGCATGCAACTATTTGATTTATTATTCGATCAGCTTAGAAATAATTAACAAATTATAAAAAATAAAAGTTGAAAAGGCTGGCAAAATTTCGTTTGCTATAACTTATTTCAGAAACTCTAGAAATGGAAGTATTAAATATGTATTTTTTATGTGTACCTCCAAGTTTGGATATTAGGCAGATAAATAAAAACTCATTGAAGACTGTATAAAAACTATTTGGAAAATGCAGAACTTCAATATTTAAAAATCTATCTTCAAGATATTTATATATATAATAAGAAGCTGATAAGAATAGATGCCTAATATAATCATTAGAAAAACAACTTGCAAATTCGCATGCAATAAAAAGTAAATTTCTGCTTAATATTAATGACTAAACTATTGGGAACATGCCTAATATAAGCATTAGAAATAATGAGTAATTTACATGCAATAAAAAATATATGTGTGCTTATCATTAAAAACTGTATAAAAAGCTATTGGGAAAATGCATCACTTTCTGTGGAAAGTTCGAGACGGGGTTATATGAGCGATAGTGTAATTTTCATAGTGCTAAGCGATTTGCTAATTAGAGAAATTTAGCAACTAATTAGCAACTAACGAATTTTTATTGAAATTACTGTTAAGGACGTTACATTTGAATTTATATGGTCGTAATACACGCTCTCTCTTTCTGGAAGAGTATACGCGTACTTTGATCCGAGCTCAGTCAAGACACAAAATCAATGCGCCCCCCAGGCGGAATTAGAAGCTGCCTATATTGCTGCTGCTGCTGCTGCTGCTGCTGCTGCTGCTGATGGATGCCTGAGCATGGGCTAAGTCGAAGTCGAAGTCGAAGTCATTTAGAGTCGTTGACTCTCAGCGCTTGGTCGCTGGGCATATGGCACGACGAATGCACTGCATTAGTATTGCAAAACAGGCAGTCAGATCAAAATCCATTTCAATCGACACGTATTTAGCATCGGCTACCAATTGTTGCCACCCCACACTTTGGTAACTCGTTTCGTGTGCTGTGGTTTCGATTTTGGTTTGGGTTCAAGTTTGGGTTCGGGTTCCAGTTTGGTTTGAGTTCTTGTGGTCCAGCCGCGTATTGATAAATTGCAGAATAATCGAATGCAGCTCCTTTTTTGCGAGCGCGTCCTGCCGCCAGACAGCATATGTGGCATTTTTGAATTATTAATGCAACCAGCACAAAAGAAGCCCTCAGCAACAACGAGAACAACAGCGGCAACAACATCTACCAAAACAAAACAAGTAAGAGAGCTTTAGGCTAGACAGGTCGACAATGAGTACACCCTGTACTAATGTAAGATAAGTGTGCTTAAATAAATTCGCTACAAACAGATGTAAACGATCGGCGCCATTCCAAGTAGAAGTTTCAAAGACAGCCTTTTTTTTGTATTCCACAAACTGAATCAAAATGTCCTTCGAATGCACACAATTTGCTCAGATAAGATATATATATATTATTATTATTTTTTTACTAATACTCAGATGGAGAGTATTTTCCAAGTACGAAATGAAAATCGAAAAATGTGATTAAGATATAGAAATTTTTGTGCCACGAATAATGCATTACAAGCATTTACAAATTGAGGTTTAGACTTAAGACATGTCTATATTGGCTAGTTCTGCTGATTGAGAATAATAATATTGTTTAATAATATATATGGCATCGAAGTTGTCTGCTGCTGTTTGTTACATACATTTCCACAATATGATCATGCCCTTTTGCACACTTGTTCAATGTTTGCAGGGTATAACAAACAAGAACAACAAACTTTGCGTGCTTATAAAGACAAATTCAAAAAGGGCTGCGTGTCGAAATCGAACAGAACATTTGTGGCCAGACGCGAACACAGAAACAACTTCGCAGAATGGCTTTTTAAATATCCCAAACAGCAAACAAAAAAAGTCGTTTGACTTTATAGATAGTTCATTTCGTGTATATATACATACCGTATTTGTTTTTGCTGTTATTTGTTGTCGAAATTGAATGTTTTGTACTATAGAATTATTGTTGTAGTCTTTGATTATAGCCATGTTTACCATAGATTTAAAAGCGTTAATACAACTCTCGAAATCCGGAGAGGGCAAGCTGCAACAACGTCAGCGCATTCGGCGTGGCAAAAGGAGGTAAGCCGATGAACAACTGATTGGAGGACAATATTACAACACAAATCCCAATCCATAGCTACATCCTGTGCTATGTGCTGCAAAATGGTCTGCTGACCATAAACCGAACGAAACGCATCAAGACCGGAAGTACTGAAAAGCGCTGGAGTCGCCTGCAAAGGCATCGCAAACGATTCGTGCGTTGTCCTACCAAATCCTGCGGCAGCCAAACAAGCTTTGAGATATGTGAAACGCAAGCGCAAGATCAGGGCAGCCAAACGCCGCTTATCATGCAGACTGATGCCGTTGTGCAGACACTGGATATCAAACAGATGATATCCCGACACCAGCAGACAAACAAACACCACCAACTGTCCATTGGCAGTCAGACGAGGCGCCTCATGGTGGACACACGCTTCACACAAATCGAGCAGCAGATGAAGGTGAAGTGGACGCAAACCGAGCCTCAGCCCATCCTGACCAGTGTGAGCAGCACTCAGACGTTGGCCATTGAAAAATTGCCATGTAGAAATAGCTATACACAGACAACGATGCCCCAGGATGTGGAGGAGCTGATGAAGCCGCATGAGAAGACGCATCACCTCCTACTCGAGGCACTCAACAAGCAGAGCAATTGGCTCGAGCATGGCATCGAGTCCATTGATCACCTGGTCGAATTTAAGATACTCGAACTTGAAAAACAGCGCCATGAGGCATTATCGAAACTCAATGTACAAAAACGGATCAAACAACTGTATATCAATCGGTAAGTTGACTCCAATATTGAGAACATCAACTGAAAAGAATTCCCAATTTTTTTTTTCGAAATTAATGGTTTATGTTTTATAAATTCTTAATTTAAAAAAACCTTTTCATTTCAAAATAGATCATTTATGTTGGACAAATAATTCAAAATTAGTGAATAGAGTAAATTATATATATTAAGAAACATTTCCACCTCTGGTTCTTCATTTAAATACATACATACTTTTGATGCAATCTTTAGTTTGATTTTAAGTTTACATTCACACAGATTGAAGTCTACTTGACATAAACTCAACATATCCTAATCCAAGTAAACATATTAATTTAAAAAGTTTGTGCATATGTTCTAGGAACATAGTATTTCTAAATGAAAATTGAATAAACTGAAATGTTGCAATTTACGGATTACATTAAACGTTATTTAAATAAGAACTTTGTTCTCTGGTCAATAAATGTTCGACCCTTGCTGAATCTTGACAACGCTTTGTACTACGAAAATCTGCATCGCTTTTCTAATGAATAGTTAAAGTCTTTAAACGTTTATTTTAAAAATACTATTTTTTTTTTCCTAATGAGATTAATTGCACTAAATATATTCCGGAAAACTACAATCAATTTTCTTTAAATATAAACTTTGTGCTCTGGTGCACCTCTTTGTTTGACCTCTGATGCATTTTAACAACGTTTCTGACTAAAAAAAACCTATAACATTTTTGGAGTGAACAGTTAATGTCTTTAACACTACCTGCCTCTACCTGCTTCCAGTCGCAAGCATCGCAGATGCCTACAGATATATCGACGAAGGTTCAAGACTAAGGCCAAGCCAGCTCATGGCCCGGAGCAAAAGCAGACGCAGACAAAGGAAGCGATGCAAAAGCAGACAGAACCCACGCCCACAGGGTAAGTCTTTGCACACACTACAAAATGCTGCTTTAAATTGGCTTCCTTGTGGTATGCAGCTCAAACATGAAAAAAGTCTATTTAATACCGAAACAGCTATTGATATTGATTCGAAAAAGTAGTAAACAAGATGACTATTGAATATAAATATAAATTAGAATTTGGGGTAGACTTTAAAAAAGTCACCAAATTGTTTGTTAAAGCTTTCCATTGTTTTCTGTATTCCAACGTTTTTTTTTATACAAACGAACGTCAATAAATCGATTTGCCATTTGGAACAATTAAAATTAGAGCTATACAAACTTGAAGATTGGGAAAATCACAAAGTATAAGTTAAATAAAATTCGAATTAGGTCGAATAGGAGAAGTTTACATGTATTTGAATACATAACGGTATGGATGTAAAGTCGCTCGAAAGAATTAGAATAATTTTAATCTAAATTTTCAATTTATTCGATGTCATTCATTTTAAATTCATTATAAATTATAAAATGTGTAATATATACATAAATTTATATTGCATGCATTATCCATGTTATTATATACATTTCAATGCTTTCAGAAACACTTTAGAATATAAACAGTTCAAATAAACTTTAAGTATAAAGACATGTTCTAATTTGAAATGAATTTTCATTAAATGATTAGTTCTGAAAAACCCAGACTTGTAAGAAGACTTCTAAGAATCGTCACAAATCAATATCAGCTTTGTGAGTCATTTCTGCATATTTAAAGCTCGTATTATTAAGAGTCATAGTGCATTCAATAATACCCAAATACCCTGCAACCAAATACAGCTCGAATTGCATTCAAAATGAGAATTGTCTGGATACGAGGAACGTCAGCTTGTTGGATGCTGCCACTCAAACGGGGAGGACAAAAGGATTCTCTTGGCTGCGATTCTGAGCAGCTGCTCAACTTGGACAAATATTCGTTACTTACCACAGCCAGCGCCAGTTGGCAGCCCTTCTTGTTGTTATTGTTGTTAATGTTCTTGTTGCACTCATATTGATTAACATAAACTGAATTGTCGTTGCTGTTGTTGTTGTTGTTGTTGCTGCTGCTGTTGGCATTTGATTTAAATCAAATTGGTATGATTAGTGCATTGTTTAGTGGCGGCGCCAAAGTTGCAGGCATTCATTTAACTTGTCGAGTAGCTGTTTAACGTCTGTTATTCGATGATTCTGTGAATCGGAGAATCTGTTGTGAATATACACACGTACTTAGCCAGCCGCAGACACGTCCGCACGCGATAAAATCTCGCCGAAGACTGAATGGAGCTGCTGGAACAAGGCTGGTGCCAAGTGGCCATCGTTTTTGGTATTGGTTCTGCTTTTGGTTTCGCTGCAACGTTTGGCTTTGGCTTTGGATTTGGCTTTGGCTTTGGCGACTTCGGTTTTTTGTTTACGTCGCGTCGGTCGCTCGTCGTTCTCATTGCTGTTGTTGTTGCTATACACTTGCCAAAACTGTAGTCTTCATTTTCTTGTGGAGTATGTAACAATTTGATGGAAATAATTCCGACTACGTAGAGTACGAGTATGATTTTTTGATGAGCATATAAAGTGAACAAAATTGTGTATAAATGTCTCCACATTTTAATTACAAATTTTAATAACAAAAGTTAAAAATATGTTTTTACTTATTAACTTTTTTTTATTAATTTAATTGAATTAAACTAAATTAATCTTCGCAAGCCGAATCCAAGGATAAGTTACAACCGTGAAGCGAACTAGCTCAGCACAAGTCTTTGACTTTTTTGCTATCTTCGTTCTAAAAGTGTATCCAAGCTTCGTCATGGTTAAGACAGTTGTTTGTTTGTTGTTGTTGTTCCGTTGTCGGTATGCAAAAAGCCAACAAACAACAATAAGAAAGTCACGCTTAACGACTGCGACTGCGACTGCGAGTGATGGTCTAGGCTGGACAACGGAGAGTCCAAAAAAGTAAAAAAAAAAAGATTAAACATACAGCGGCGGGGATGGATTGCCGTTGGTATACAAAAGAATAAAGCATGGCTGCCGAAAAGGCGTCTCTGCTTTGGCAGTCGGTCGGGCGGGGTGTGAACCTGAGACAACTTTTGAAGGCACAGCCATGAGAGTCCTGCTGGTACTGCTTGCTGCCACCTTTGCCACTCACGTGGTTGCTGATTGATTGCTATCCCGTATTCCCCTCCCACCGCAAAATATGTATACAAAAGGGTTGCACTTTAATTGAGATTTATTTATGGGCCAGGCCAAAGCCGAAGACAAAGAGCGCTTCCAGTTATAATGAGCCAACCACTCGTAGTGAGCCAATGGACCTGGACAATATTTGGACAGCCCGAGCAAGGCAATTGAAAAGTACAATTGTTGTGGTTGTTCCTTGTTTTTGTTGTTGTTTTTGTTGCAATTATTGTTCTGTGGTGGCAGGCACTGACAAAAATTGGGCGGGCATTCGGCCAGCTCGTTATTGTCAAATTGTTAGCCAAGAGGCCTGGCAATGTTGGAGTGTGTGTGTGTGGACATGTTAGCAGATTGTTGAGTACACTCAGCAGAAAAATTGAGTGATTAGGTGTCAGCCATTGTCATATTACGTGCAAGATGAAAACTAAAGCTAGTTTTGCAATCCCGAAAACGAAATTCGTTTTTGAAATAAGCTAAGTGGTTTAAAAACCATTGTGTTAATATTGTATTTTAGATTGGAAACTTTACGATTAATTATTTTTAATTCAAATATGTTTTTTGCCAGCTCCACTTCAATTTATTTTTGATATTCTCTAATATATTTCGAATCCCGTCAGGATTCGTCTTCAGGAATACAGAGATTCACAGCGTGTGCTCAGTCAGCTATGAATTTTAAGTTGGTTTCAACATAAAAATCAAGAGTTTTTAACTCAAATCGAGATACATCTTCAATCAACACTTTGCTCATTAAAAATCTTCAAAATTGAATCAAGATATATTTTCCAGATTTAGAGTTTTTCTTTGATGCTTTTATATGTCTTTCCAAAACATTTTGAGGCATTTGTAGAAGAGTAACTTGAATAAGAACTGGATTAATCGAGCTAAAATATATTATATTATATATTCTAAAAGCAATCCTGAGTTCATCTTAATATACAATTTACTTAGCTCGGATCAAGAATATACATTCTTAGTCTATTTAAAGTTCAAAACTAACTGCATTAAGTTATTTGTTCTTCACTTCTAATCTTGCTAAAACCTGCTGATATTGAAATCATCAATGATTTGCAGATAGTATCTAGAATAGTCTCTCTTTTCACAATTTAGAATAGTTTTTCGCTGAGTGTATGCGGTGGGTGCCGCTATGCGCTGACTTTGACATGGCAACGGCTTTGTCTGTGTTGCTGGTGGCCTGGAATGTACACTACAGTTGCATCAAGAGCAAATTGAATTGAATTGAATTGGGCCTAGGCCAGTCAGTGCCTATGTTAAGGTTAAGTGGCACTGTTGGCCAACTCAGTGCAACTCTATACTCTCCACAATTTGTTGCAGCATTCAAATTGCTTTGGCCTGGCCTCGCCTGGCCTGGCGCTCGGAACGTGAGCCACTGCCTCCGAGAATTGAACGCAGTCAGTCAGAGAGGCCAAGAGACCCGGGCAACTTTTACGCTAGTTATATGCTCAATTATATACAGCAAATTTTAGTGGCCGACACGAAATCAGTGTAAAACTTTCACTTTAACGCCGCACAATGACGCAGACATGAAAAATAAAATAAAATACAAAATGGCGCAGACAACACAACGGAGACGAAAAGTAAAAAAAAAAAACTGACAAGAAAATATAGAATGGCATCCGCATCCTTCCGTTCTTTGCGTTGAATGATTAAGTTTGACAGCCACAAAAGAAAAATGCTAGAAAATTTGTAAAATTGCATTCGTGTTGAGAAACGATATAAAGTAAAAAAAAGGCTATTTGGTTAGTAAGTGCTTACTTTTGCCAGAGAGGAGCATCATGCATTGTCATTAGCAAATAGTCATAAACAAGTCAAAACAAGAAAAAAAAAACAAGAAATAAGAAAATACTAGTAAGAATGCTGAACTCCTCATAGAATGCTCGCCCAGAAGACACTCTGTGCACACGCCTTAGGAGAAAAATAATTGTTGATAATTGAAGAGCTTTACATAAATATTTTCCAAAATAAGTAAAAAAAAGTTCTATCATAAAACTTGCTTGAAAGTAGTAAGTTTTCTATGAAGATTTTTATTTTTTTTTTAAATTATTTGCTGCGGATATAAATCATTCCCAGAATCAAAGAGTTTTATCTATGATTAATATATTTACTTAAGCAATATGTATAATATATTCCAATTATTCCTAAAACCTTTTGATCGTTTGTAAATAAGAACAATTTAACTATTTACTGTAGATAGAAAACAAGTGTAAAATCAAAGGTTTTTTTTTTATATATTGACAGCAAGCTTCATCTTAACATTTACTGTTTATTCACCGGCCTACTTTGTTGTACTTAATGGAATCCTTTCTTTGCTGATTGTTTACAGAGTATTTAAGGCATGCCACATTGAGTGGCATTACAAGAACGGGACGTTTAGTTGCAAATTTTAACAAGAGGCTGTAAATGATTAATGTCAATAAGCGCGCAAAGTCAACTGGAAAATGCTAGAAGTCATCTTGAAAGTAGGAAACGATGTGGCTAAGCCATGCTTTGCCGGATTGGGATCGAAGTATTTGGGTCGTGAACCCGCTCGTACCTAGCCTATCACATTATTGAGGACAGCCATCAGCCAACAGTCAGTCACTGACCTGATCCTCAAGCGTCTTCTGGGTTGCATCGGGCAACAATTCAATTGGTGCCAGGGATGCTGTTCATGATAAGCAGCCATTTTGTATATCTACATATTTATTTTATGTTTAGAGAAAATCTGTGGCACACCTACAAACGGGCACGTACAGCTCATTTGCCACACGCTTAAATGAGGCATTTACAAAATCATTGCTTACACCTGGCAAAGTAACCAAAAGCAACGACAGATGACAAATCATTTTACATGTCACGCGCAAAAAAATGTCCAGCGCATTGTCAGCAATGCGCCACCTCATTTGCAAATACACTTTGAAAAAAATTATAGCTCTAACGTTCGATTGAGCGCGAATTAAGTATTCGAAATTCTTACTTGATTATTGAACGATTTTCACAAATTTAAAATAAATAAATAAAAACCCAAGCAGAGAAAATCGTTTATAATAATAGTGTTGAGTTAGTAGAGATACTATTTTCAGACAAGTTAAAATATAAAATGGTAAGCTATGTGCAATAAATTTTTGTTTAATAACAGAATTCACAAAATATTTCTCGATTATATCTCTCTGTGTATGCCATTGGCTAGGCGATATTATTGCCACATCACTTAAGCTTGAATGCATGCGCAGCGAGTGTGACAGCCGATTGAGATGGGAAACAACGGCGACGGGAAAAACCTTTGGCTTGGGAAAATGTCTGGAACATGCGTGCGTTTCTCTCTCTGCACACATCACATCAAATAGCAACTACAAAGGCGACTTTCCAGTGCGTACAACTGTCAGCATGCGAGGCAATTTGGCACATTCATGATACCCCCACACACACACACACACATATATACAAATATATGCACAGACATATACGCATGCGCACAGTGAAACTGGAACGAGCAGCGGAACGGTTCCTAGCGCAGGCAATTTAAACTAACGGCGAACGCTATATTTAAGCCATATTTGGCGGGAATTCTGTCCAAATGTTTTGAAGAATGCAGTGCTCTTGAGTGACGCCTGCCAATCACACATCACTCTGCTAGTTCGAGTGCTGGCGCATTGTCAAATTGTGTTTGGCTATGAAGAAGAAATGCAATTAGCTTTAAAGACAGCAAAAAGACAACTCTAAGAAAATGCTTGAAATATATACAAACATAATTACTGCTTTTGGCCTTGCCAGATGCGCTACAGAAATAACAAATATCGCAAGCAGACACGACACGGGGATAGTATAAATGTATCGATAACACATTCTTCGCTGGTAAACAAACACAAAAGCTATCGAATATATACGCAAAGTGGAGTGAAAATTGTGCGGCGACGAAAAATAAAATAAAATAAAAATAAAAGCACATTTAAAAGTGGAGTATGGCGTCGCTAGAACCAACGCAAAATAAAACATGGGATCTGTCACTGTACGAGTTGCAGCGCAAGCCGCAGGAAATCATCACAGACAACACAGAAATTGCAGTTTCTCCGCGCAGTTTGCACAGCGAATTAATGTGTCCCATTTGCCTCGATATGCTCAAGAAGACGATGACGACCAAGGAGTGCCTGCATCGATTCTGCTCCGATTGCATTGTGACCGCTCTGCGCTCCGGCAACAAGGAGTGCCCCACATGCCGCAAGAAACTCGTCTCAAAGCGTTCGCTGCGTGCCGATCCCAATTTTGATCTGCTAATCTCGAAAATTTATCCCAGCCGGGAGGAGTACGAGGCTCTCCAGGAGAAAGTGATGGCTAAATTCAATCAGACGCAATCGCAACAGGCACTCGTCAATTCCATCAACGAGGGCATCAAGCTGCAATCACAAAATCGCCCACAACGTTTTCGCACCAACAAGGGTGGAAATGGAGGAGGTGGTGGCGGGGGTGGTGCCAGCTCTGGTGGCAATAATAACACAGGGAGTGGTGCAGCCAGCACTCGTGCCGGCTCGAATGCGGTGCATGCCCACGATACCGCCTCCAATGACAGCAACAGCAATACAAATGGCACAGAAACTTCTGCTCCAACTGCGACTACAGCAGCAGCAGCGGGCACAGGAGCAAGTGCAGCAGCAGCAGCAGCGTCAGCAGGAGCAGGTGCAGGAACAGCATCAACTGTGACTGCTATACCAGGCGCTGGCACCTCGACGCCCGTGAGCAGCAGCTCCGGAACAATGCCAGCGGCCACATCGGCGGGCACATCTGGCGCCAGCACTTCCTCGAGCCGGATGCAGGTAGATGATGCCTCAAATCCGCCATCGGTGCGCAGCACTCCATCCCCGGTTCCCTCGAATTCGAGCAGCACGAAACCGAAGCGAGCCATGTCAGTGATGACCTCCGAACGTTCGGAGGAATCCGAGTCGGATTCACAGATGGATTGCCGCACCGAGGGTGACTCCAACATCGATACCGAGGGCGAGGGCAACGGTGAGCTGGGCATCAATGATGAAATTGAGCTCGTCTTCAAACCCCATCCCACCGAGATGTCTGCGGACAATCAACTGATTCGTGCCCTGAAGGACAATTGCATCAGGTACATTAAGACGACAGCGAATGCGACCGTGGATCATCTCAGCAAGTATCTAGCGATGCGTCTGACACTCGATCTTGGCGATGATCTGCCGGAAGCCTGTCGCCTGCTCAACTTTTGCATCTATGTGGCGCCGCAGCCTCAGCAGTTGGTCATCTTGAATGGCAACCAGACGCTGCACCAGGTCAATGATCGATTCTGGAAGGTGGGTCTTTAATTACTCATTTAATTAATTAATTATATATGCAATTACATTTTATTATTCTTACTAAATTGTAGGTCAACAAGCCGATGGAAATGTATTATTCGTGGAAGAAAACCTAAAGCATAAAAAAACATTTATTTCCTCAATCGAAAATTATATATATATATATATATATAAGTCTGTATAGTTTTAACATTAATGTGCTTAACAAGAATATATTCTATGTGTATACAAATGCAGCATATTAACTTATTTAGTTGTTTATATTTACAAGGTATGTCTATTATTTTTTCTATAATTCTTTAATAATTTGCATACTTGCAATTAAGATAACGACTTTGAAATTTAATTCCATCACAATTCTTTGATAAAACTAAAATTACTTCAAGTTACAGTTTTAATTTCAAGCTGGACTTTTATAATGAATAGTTCCAAACACGGCAAAGAATTTTCTGCTCGTCCTAAATATCTGCAGACCCTTGACCGTTCCAATAGCGGGCTTTCCATTCAGATCCCCTTTGTAGTTCATATTTTAAAAATAAATTTATTTTGATTTACAAATGTTGATTTATGTGCGTAACAAAAATATACATACAAATACAACATAATCAATTAAGTTTTAGGAATACGTACTGAATGGTAAGGAACTCTAAAAAATAAGTACAATTTAAACATTTATTCTACAGAAGCTAACCGTTACGGCAGCATTTGTTGCTCGAGCATTTAAAATATTTTTATTCCAGTTATATATATTAAGTGTGAATAGGCGCTGGGATCTAATCGATTGAGGTTGCGTGAGGTTAACCGGAAATAAATCACTTTGAAGTACCATTTAAAGTTGCAATTGATAGCAGGTAGCTCTGTAAATCACTTGTGGGGTATACGTCGCATCTTGGCGAGTATGGCGTTCCTAAAGTCCTTGAAATCGCTGCTGGCCTCGATCTCGTTGCGGCACTCGCCCTGCACACGACACAGGCCCGATTTGATCTCTATCGCTTGGCCATTACGCGCTCGGCGCGCTAAATCCTGTTCAAGGTGATAGGGCAAACCCAGATCGCAAAGCTCATCGATTTCATCTTGTGTAAATGTACGCTGTTCCTCCTGCAGGAATTCATCGCATTTCTCATAGATGTCCAGAAACTGTTCCACTTCGCTCTTATCCCCGGACCGTTGCAGCTCCAGATAGCGATGAAGTAATCTGGTTGCGGCACCATCCAGCAGCGTCTGCTGCACACTGTTTGTCAGTGTGTAGATGCGCTGCACTTCCTCAACGGTCATGTCCGAGCAGCCGCAGAAGCATTTGATCAGCTGAACAGTTTTCCGCTGCGAATGCAACTCGTTTAACATTTTGTTTACATTCGACATATTTACATACTTTGTAGGATGATGTTGATGACGATGCCATGGTGCAGTTGTCTTGTAAACGTTAACCAGGCACTATCGCTTCCGCACACTGTCTCGGACTAACTGGGCTTGCTTCCGGCGTAGAAGGGACGTTTGGGTCAGTCTGGGTTGCCTTATAAAAAAAGCATGATGATGAATTCATCTATGCATGTGTGATTCGTCTAGGCACAGCTGGTGTGGAATCTATAATACTATCGATAGCAGAGTTAGCTCAAATATAATCGATATTTATGGCACTCAAAAAACACACAAAAGTTGCAAATTAAAGTGAATCTATTTATATTTACAAAAATATACTTAACAAGTTTCAAGTTGTCAATAAGCTATATTTGTTATTTTAATTCTAAATTGTTGAAGTCGAGTGTTAATTTGGAGATTCGTTTACTTAACGAATTTTTTTTTATAGTATTATTTTTTTTAATGCCATTGATTTTGCATGCATCCGTTATATTTCATATTTTAAGGCAAAGTTAATCCCGAAATTTGATAATATAAAATTGCGGCCTTATCTCCCAGCTAAGCTGAAAGTATATAGATATTATATGCGGTTAAATAAGTTAATTAATCCTAAATATCAATTCATAAGCGTAACAATCTATCTTCTTTTATTTTTTTTCTGTACACCCCTAAAGCTAGAGATTTGAAACTTTAAATGCCCGCGTCAGACAGCCGCTCGCAAATCGATAAAATCCTCATTTTTACAACTCGATAAAATCGCATATCATCTTGTGTACGTTGCTGGCTACCTCTTTTAAAGTTCGACATGCATATATATCTGAATATAATTATATTTCCTTGCCACACCCACTTACTGCCATTCCACACACACTCATCTGGTGTTAACAGAGATATGAGTTTGAAATAAAGTATTTTATATATATTAAAAGAACTAAGAGGAAGGTATCCATCCCTTACCTAAAGCCATGCTAAAATACTGTTTCACATCTAGATTAACACTAAATTAAGTGTTTCTTTCAATTTCTGCTGCTTCTCACAAGTGGCAACAGATATACAATCATGCATATCTAGTGCTGCCTTATACATATCTATATCCATGATACAGTCGAACTTTCCTATAGAGAACTTCTTTGTCATAAAGTTTTTCTTATTGTAAAGTGACTTAAAGCACAAAGATTTAATCGAATTTCCCATATGTATGTATATATTTGCATATATAATGAAGTGATTTTCTGATCTTGTGCGACTTTACTGTAGTAGTAATTTCATGATGGGACTATAGACTAGACGTTTTCATTTGCTTCTAAAAATAGAACAAGATTGTTTCACGACTGCTTCCCTGCCTCGGCTGTCGACTGTTGACTCCGGTTATCGCCTTCGTATCTCTTTAGTGTTTGGTACAATGTACGAAAGGTGCATTCGTAATCGTAGTTGGATCGATCGATTTAATTAACAAATTCTAGTTTTTTATTGAATACAGTCAGATACATATTTTGATTGCCTTTATGAGCTACAACTTGGACTTGAGGGCCTTCATCAGTTTCTCTAGCTTGAGGGCCTTCTGAAAGTCGCCTTTGATCTTGAGCTTGCCGGACATGTAGGCGGGTGCCGCCTTCAGTTTCCCCGAGAACATATCGAAGAAATTAGTCGAGTTCATCGTGAGTGTGGCATCGGGAGCTGCTGGTGGAGTGCCCGTGCCACAGGCACCAGCGCCATTCTTCAGATCCAGATACCAGGTGTCCTGCTTGGCGCCACTGATATTGAATTGGTAGACAGCCTGTGTCTTGGACACAATCTCTGGCGAGAGCAGTGCCTCAATTTTCTTAAATAATTGCGGAATTTTGTCGTCTCCTGCAGGCGCTGGCGCTGTATTCTCCTTGACAGCCTCCGCATCCTTGGACTCAACGAAAAAGTCAACCATCAGCTTGTCGGCATTCTCCCGGACACAGGCATAGTCTGTCAGATCCTTGATGCCCACAGATTCGAGCACCTCATCATCAATGAAGAACTCGCCGGTGAATTGTTTGGGCTCCCGGCAGAGTATCGCATAGGCAGCATCGGCCATAATCTCGGGTTTGCGTGACCAGCTGGCGCTATCCGGTCCCGTCAGCATTTCTATTGCCGCCGTATGGATGGCAGTGCGGGGCCAAAGGGCATTCACGGCGATGCCACGATCCCGGAACTCCGCTGCCATGCCTAGCACACACATGGACATGCCGTACTTGGCCATTGTGTAGGCGACATGGGGTCCAAACCATTTGGCCTTCATGCTCAACGGTGGCGAGATGTTCAAAATGTGGCCATGATTGCTCTTCTCCAGGTGGGGCAGACATTCCTTGGAGACGAGGAACGTACCCCGCGTGTTGATGTGATGCATCAGATCGTAACGTTTCATGTCCGTGTCCGGAGTGCTGGTCAATGAAATGGCACTGGCATTATTCACAACGATGTCGATGCCACCGAATTTGGCCACAGCATCAGCGATGGCGGTGCGCACCTGTTTCTCATCGCGCACATCGACAATGCAGGGATGCGCCTTGCCGCCGGCCTGCTCAATCTCGGCGGCAGCCGTGTAAATGGTGCCTGGCAATTTGGGATGTGGTTCGGCTGTTTTAGCCGCAACCACAATGTTGGCACCATCGCGTGCAGCCTTCAAAGCGATTGCTTTGCCAATTCCCCGGGATGCGCCAGTGATGAACAGGGTGCGTCCCGCTAATTTTCCAGAGTTGATCATTCTTTCAGCTGCCTGATAAACCGTTTCACTTGCAGTATTAATTGAAAATGAGCCCAAGCCTTCAATCAGTGTTGAGGAGAAAGTCCAAAGTGCAATCTGATCGGCAGCCAGACAACATATTCGGCAGTATCAACTTTTGTATACACTCCAAATGAACGTTAACTCAGGCACAGCAAACGCCATAGAGTCGCATATATCACCAATTAGCAATTACAGCAAATTTAGTAGCTGTATTTTAATCATCTCTTCAAAAATTGTCATTGAATGCTAAAAATTATACATTTAAATTCTAAAAAAGATCCTAGGCGTTGGCATTCACATGTAAACGGATTTTATGTGAATGCTGGCTGGGCCAGTGAGTGTCAAGTGCAAGAAGAAGAAAAACGCACACTGAATTTGTTTGTTGATAATTACAAAATTGCAGCAAAAGGTTAAAAATTAACAGAATAGTGTAAAATAAATAGTTAATATTAAATGGCAGCCTCGCGTTCGCGACGCAGCAATGCTGGCAACAAAATAGCCGTGTTGCTCGACGAAGAAGAAGATGATTTCTACAAAACTTCCTATGGCGGTTTTCAGGATGAAGAAGGAGACAACGAATATGAGTGTGTAAAATTATAAATAGTAATAGATAATCAAAATAATATAATCCCATTTAACTTCCACAGACAAAAAGACGAGGAGGAGGATGTGGTCGATTCCGATTTCAGCATAGACGAGCAGGATGAGCCCATATCAGACCAGGAAGAGGCGCCGGACAAGAAACGCAAACGAGGTGGCGTCAACACAAAAGCCTACAAGGCAAGCAGAAAAAGCGCATAATATATGTAGTTAAAATAGATATATATAATATACATAATTACTATAAATAGGAACCGGCGAAACTCGTTGTGAAAAAGGAAACAAAAACCGCTTCCACACTGCACAAGAAGCGGGGTGCTGGCGGCGTCGGCAAGCGCAGAGTGCGTCCACGTTTCACTGTTCTGGACTCCGGTCGCAAATCCATACGCACATCGACGGCCATTAAAACACAGGCAACGAAAATACGGCTCAAGGAACTGGACGACGCTCGCAAGCGCAAGAAGAAAAAGGTGCGCGTCGAGGATTATATGCCCACGCAGGAGGAGCTCCTCGAGGAGGCGAAAATAACCGAGGAGGAGAACCTCAAATCGCTGGGTAAGTCAACAATTCATCTTGTAAGCAATCCATTATAACTTTCTTAGCTTACTTGCAGAGAAATTCCAAAAAATGGAGCTTGAGAAAAAGAAGACTCGTCCCACAAAGCGAGTCTTTACGGGCCCAACTATACGCTATCATTCATTGACAATGCCCGTCATGCGTAAGCCAACAGGTGCCACTACCAAGCTGTCCTCGGATCCCAATTATGCCACATCGAAATGCGAGCGCACTTTTGTAACTATCGAAAATGATTTCAATGATAAAGCGTTCCATGCGATCTTTCGCCCAAAGCGACCACCAAAGAGCTCGAGCGGCATTTGTCCCATCACCCGACTGCCAGCTCGCTACTTTGATCCCGTGACCCAGCAGCCATACTACAGCATCCAAGCCTTCAAGATCCTACGCGAGGCTTACTATATGCAACTGGAGCAGCAGAGCAGCAGCAGCGAACTGCCGGAGCTGGCAAAATGGATGGAGTGGCGAAAACTGGTCAAGGAAAATCGTCAAAAGGCAGCCACAACCAACAAAAATTCGGAATAATTATTAATAAGAAGAATTTAGATAAGAAGAGAGTTTATTTATAAGTATTTTATTGTAAAGATTTTTATCAATTACTCATTGGCAACTATTGATTGCAGATGAGTTCTTAAATGAACAACTTTCTATTTCCGAGATATTCCAATCAAACTTATTAGTAAACTTCGTTTTAATGTTGTTGCCTAATAGTTTTTTATTTTACCTGGGTTTATTTAAAAGCAACAAATTGTGTTTTTTATTTCTAGTCGTATAGCATGTGCACGCACCAGTGAAACCATGTAGGTTGTTGCATTGGCTAAGATTACCCAAAGCGAAGCATAAATTGCAGCATACTTTTAGATGACTAGAAAAACTTTATACCTGAATAAAATTCTTGCAGATTTTCGAATCTAATGCAGTGCTAGAAGCGTAAGGATCAACTCTAAAAATGCATTCTTGAATTATGAATATACAAATATCAACTTTTGAAATACTACTGTTGCATACTTTATATAAATGATAATTAAGCTTAACTAAAAGATCATTCGGAGTTCGCAACTTTGGTAATAAGATTAAGCTTGTTATATAGAAATATCTATGTGTTTTTGTGTTTGTGTACGTTTTCTCATACTTCAGAAATTACCTTGCAAGTGCGATCAAAGTCAAATGTCTATTTTGGATTAAGCAAATTTCTCTACACATTTATCTAAATTTTTAAAATATATATATTTTTTTTATCAAAAAGAACAAGATTTCGACTGCAAAAAGATGTGTGAAAAGTTACAACGTGTTGTTGTCTCCCTCACGGATTCCATGCACAAAATGTCCAATAGCAGCCGAATTGACAAATCTATTGATGGCAATGTGAAATTGCTGAGCAAGACGACTCTGATGCTGCGCTTGATGAGCGGCAATGAGTCAAGGAAAAAATCACAATCAACTGATTACGTTCAGCGGTTGCAGTTTGACGCTGTAGGCTACGAGGAGGAACGACATGTGAAGGATGAGCTCAACGGATTGTTGGCGCAGATGATACGTCATCATCGCTCTGGCTGTCTGCTCCGCTTGACGCCTCGTCGCAGCCACAATGTGAATCTGTTGACGCATCTGCTCGTCTCGCAATTGGACAAGTTGTTGGGGCAGCATCGCCTTGAGGGCATCTGTGTGGAGTACTATGATGTGAGGAAGTTTGACATGATCAACATGCTGGCCAAATCCCGACGCAGCGGTAAGAGGGAAATGCAAAGCACCAGCGAGTTATTCCAATGGCTGCGCAATGAGTATGCATCGTTGCGAGTCTCTGCAACTGGCGATGATTACATTCATGTGGAATTTCTGCTCAATGATGGCGGTCACAGGCACAAGGTTCAATTCTCCCTGTTTGACATCTTCGACTGCACTTGTCGCACGGATCTGGTGAAGTTTTTTCGGCAACTACCAAAGCGAAAACACTCGCAGAACTCGCTAATCTTGGACTGCATCAAGGAGAGTTTTGACTCTAAGCGATCAGTCTGCACTCTGGTGCTCTGCGAGATTTCGCTGGACAAGGAGTGCGTCAAGGAGTTGCCGCAGTTCCTGCAGCTAGCGGATTTGGCCAGCAGGAGCATTGGCGGAAAGGAAATTCAAAGTAAATCCACCGATTCCCATTCATTGGAGGACATCATCAGCAGTGAATCCAAGGATCTCTCAATCCAATCGCCTTATGCTCGACCTGCCAGTCTCACCCATGAGGATTACAGCAAACTCTCCTCTTGGTATTTTCGAATAGACAGCATATACTCCAAGGTGAGGTCCACCATGGAGCGTCACTATAATATGCAGTACCGCCAAAAGTTCCTTAAACTTTGTCAGCAACTGAAATACAGCCGCATCTCCAATGATAAGTCTGGTGGGGATGCGCACCGTTTGTTGCTCCAGCGCAGCTTCGAGGATGTGGAGGCTACTGCCAATTATGCGGAGGCTCTGCGGCAATTTCGACAGCTGGAAAAGGAGGTGAACAAATCAAACTTTGCTCCCACTTTGTCGACGTACCTAAGCACCAAGAACTTCGAGCTCCTGAACGATGAGTATGGTCTGCAGCAACGGGAATTGCTAAATCTTCGAGAGCACAGAAGTCTCATATAGGAATTAGGATAATTCTGTCAAGGATTATAAAAAAAAAAGTGAAACCTAAAACTTATCTATTTGAAATTGTTCAGTATTACAAGTTAAATATATTAATTAAATCAAATCGACAAAGAACAGATATCCTAGTCCATTCAAGAAGTCTATCAAGCAGTGGACTGACTCTGACATATATTACATATACAGAATCAAACTCTATAAGGAGATATGCCTTTCTGCTTCAAGCTGATATAAAATTTAGAATTAAATTATAACAGCCAGTCAAGTCTCAGTCAAAAGTGTAATCTTTTTTATAATTTTTATTATAATGTTTGTATATTTTTTTTTTTATGAGAAACACGAAATATTTTGTGGTTTCAACGCGTTTACATATTTAGTATATAGTATAATATAATATACATAAAATACATACATATTTATATACCTATACATATACGTATACATTTATATAAATAGCAAATATTATTGTCAACAATATGGATCCATGTAATAGTAGTTTTAATCAGCATTTCCAGCTGCGGCTTCAGGCTATATAATGAACAGCTAATAATGCCCAATACAATGTGTAACAGTTACATATATAATTCAAGATATCATAATATCATATGCAGTACCCGTATGCGGGGTATTCCCTAGGCTAAAAACATTCAAAGCAACAATAATGCACACAAAATGCAATTAATTTTTAATTAACAATTCAATTCAGATCTTTTTTTTTTTTTTTTTTAAATATGTTTTATATCTTGGCAATGTTTTGAACAGTTAGGATATGTGCAGTTGGCTATGTACTCTATTGAAGGTAGGGTATAAGTTATCTCCGGGGTTTCCATTTCAAACTGGCAGTTCTGACAAATGTGATAAATTCCAAACAAAAAAAAACCAACTAAAGTTACTTAAAAAATAATTTTAAATCATAATCTAAACATAAAATGCAATGATTTCAATATAATTGAGCATGTCTCTACTAATTTTAATTAATATACTTTAAGGTGCTGCCAAAAAGAATAATATTTTTGAAACTCTTTAATGCGATATTCTTAAAATGCATTATAATGTTCATTGTACAAATGAGTTTAGCTCCATAAGGAGCAAAGGTCTTCGTCAACATAAAGATAGCTGTACTGCTTAATGGATAATATTATTATTATTGTAACCTGCACCCATTTAAAAGTGGGAAAAGGGCAAAATAATTGTTATTTTGTGTATATAATATTCACAAGAGCTTGTAGAATGTATATGTATTTTGATTACTCACACACTAAGAGTAATTAGCTTATGCGAAGGCTCTGTAAAATTTATAGATTTCTTGAAACACGCATTTCTTTCTCTGGTCTGGAATTTTCAACATTGCCCATAATGCTTATACTTGTTTTGAGAACAATATTCTAAATGTTTTGGGTGTACGAATCGATTTAAAATTTATAAATTTTCTTGAAATTTATTCTCTGGTTCAGAATACAATATTCTTCATTCTTTTGAGTGTAAGTAAAAAAAAATTCAAGTAACAATAGGCTTTGAACAATTTTCTTTTTGCTTTTTTTTTATTCTTTTGCTTTTGTTTTTTTTTACAGTCTTTGCAATTTTGGGTTCAATGCTAAATGTTAGTTCAATTTTTGTGATGGAATCAAAGAAAGGAAATGAAACATGCTGCACTGGGCTTAGTATAAACTTAAAACATATATAAAAATATATCTATTCGTAGTTTTTCATTGCTGGCTCTTGAAGAAAATTCTCAATTCGAATACGTCAAGCACCGGAATTTGTTGTGTATATATAATTTCATAATTGCCTGGCTACACAAAAGCTTTTGAGTTTTGTTTTCTTTCTTTTCGTTATGCAATATTATATTAAATGCTATCATTTGCTGTTTGGCTAACGTGATCTATCCCATCTGCTTGGTAATTTTCAACATACATAAGTCCAAGTGATGAATCCTCTACATCTGCTAATCTCTACACCTGAGCTGGTTTCGTCTGCTTGCCGAGTACCATGAGCAGCTTTTGTAGGAAACGTGTGAGGCTTACTGCAAAGTACGAAGAAGAGCAAAAATTAGTTAAGAACATAAGTACCACTAAGGATCTACTTAAGTGCGCTACAACTAAGTATGAAGAACGAATGGTTAGACGTTTACGTATACGAGTGCACAAGATATAATAAAAGAGGTTAGAGGTTAGGTTTAAATACACTGTGCAACAACAAAATTTAGCTAGAACACAGTCAAGCTGTGTCTAAGTTCGGCTGCTGAATCTAAAAAAAAATTCGAGCTGATAACCTTTTGGAAACATCGAATATTAATATATCTATTTGAACTTACAAAATGTTTATTCTTTAATTGCAAATGAGCATAAATTTTTTTTTTAAATAAACTGTATGTTTTAGTAAAGTGCGACTAAAAATTGAGTTTTGTTAGTAGATCAAATTTGATACAGTATTTTGAGTTTAATATCAATACGGAAAAAACCTTTTTTATATCCAAATTTTCATAGGTGGCAAAATTTGAATTGAAGCTTTAGGTTTAATCTCAAATAGCGTTTAGTGAATGTATTTTTTTAATTCCCTTTTTTTATGCAATTAATCAAAAAACGAAGCTACATTTTTGAAAAGTCATAAATGATGTTCCATTATTATAAATTAAAGTTATTTTTGTTTTCGATTTAGCAGCCGATTTGACAGTCCGAAAGACAGGCAAATGTTGAGGTTATCTGATCTTCCTAAAACTTGTTACACAGTGTTATTATAAGTGCAAAAAGCAGGCATTTGGTGTGTGTGTTCTTTGGGTTAGTCGTTGTGTTAATACAAACTTAAGAAAACTAAGATAAGGAGCAAACTTAAAAACCTTTGACGCCGCTTTGGGACGCACAACCATCATCAGTTTCTGTAGTACTTGTGTAAGTCCGCCTAGAGAAGAACGTTTTGGGAGTTTAGCATGTAAATAATATATGAAAAGGAAAGCACAGAATTTCTTTTTCTTTTCTTATTTTTTGGTGAGGACACAGACGAAAGCAGTTGGCGAAGAATAGAAAGATTTAAGCTCCAAACAACTTACCCATGGATTTTTGGAACCAAATTGGTTTGTTCTTCCAGGCAATGAATAACAAATAGACCGGTATGCTGGATAGTATCATGAGGATGCCATAGCCTGTCTCCACAGGACTCGCGTACATGGGCACAACGGTTACGAATACTGTGGCAATCAGGTACACAATGGGGAATACCAACGGTACACGAATGGGGCGGGGCAAGTTCGGTTGTGCCCAACGCAGCCACGGCAAACAAAGTACAGCAACGCCAATGCTTAGCTGAAAGGGATTAAAAAATAAATAAATTGAGTCAATTTATATTCAAAGTTTGTTCTTTCTCATTTTGATAGACTTACCCAAGTGGCAAAGCCCACATAGTTGATGAGCGCAAAGATATCGGAGACAGTCAGGTACAACATGGAAAGCAGCGCCATTGCCAGGATAGCCGGAGTGGGCGTAAAGCGTTGAATTTGAATCATGGTTAGAATTTCTGGCATCTGACCATTATTGGCGCCAGCGTAGAACAGACGCGAGGAGGTGAGTAAAATGCCATTGACGGCACCAAACGTGGACAAAGCCACAAATACTGCAAAGATAAATTCATAAAAAAAATGACGATGGAAATATTTCAAATAAAATTGGCAGACAGACAGTCAGTCTCTTATTGAAGTACGCACCTGGTATGGTCCAGGCCAGCATGCCGAAGGCTTTTTCCGCATAGGTAACAGCAACGGCCGAGGAGCCCATGACCTCTTCGGGCGAGAGGATGGTGTAGAAGGATACGTTGGCCATCACATAGACGATGGTAACCAGGGTGCAACTGATGGCAATGGCACGTGGCAGATTCTTGACGGGATCCTTCAGCTCCTCAATGATAAAGTTCAAGTAATTCCTGACAGCAGCAAGTAAGAAGCACAAATCCAATTAGACCAAACAAGCCATGTGACAAAATGAACAAATCGGCTTACACAGAGAAAAATAAATCAAGTATTTACTTTGTTCTCAAGTCGATTGTAATCTTATATACATATATAATATAAATACAAGTGAATTAAAGTTCTTTTTACATCCGTTATTTTCGCACGAATACTATTCGAAGTGTCTATGGCTTAAAGTTGTATTCTTGCGTATACATAATTTTAAATAGTATAAATTATATATTAATTAATATTAACAGTAAATAAATATCATTTAATTCTGTTCATATTAATTAAACCTTATTTCAGTACGAACGTTTTTCGCCGTGTGTAAAACTCACCAGCCGTTGTAGGCAAACAGGCCCGAGTAGAAGGACAATGCCAAGGATGTGACCTGCGTGTCGCTGTTATCGAACGTAAAGTATTTCACATTGCCCAGATATAGCTGATACACTCCCGTCGCAATGATGATAAACAAGGCCAGCAGCTGCGAATGCCAATTCAATCCGAGACTGTAGTAATTTTTCTCGTTTGGGTTTTAAATTGCAAATGACATTTAACTTACTTTCGCATATGTGAATATATCCTGCACAGCGGTCGCCCATTTAACGTCCCAGCAATTGATCAGAGTCAGCACCACTGCAAATATACAGACATAATGACAACAAAGGAGTTTCTTTTATTATACGCTTGCCAGCGATTTAAAGAAGCCATCAATTGCAATGAACTGAGCATCATCCGGATGATGTAATAATACGAGGATTTACACAATGTTATATTAAACAGTCTGTTCTCTTTTTTACTATTGTTGTTGTTGTTGTTGTATTCGGTATTGTTGGAGCGCTTTGAAATACGCTTCATTAAATCATTATTAAATAAGTACTATAAAAACGATCGGTCACTCAACACATTATCAACGTGCAACACTTATACAAGACTTGACATTTGGGCGGTGTAATGTGTGTAAAAAATATGTAGCAACAACTAACTCTGGCAAGGCGGCGATTCTATACTCTGGCAGACACTTAAATTTTTGATTTTGCCATTATATTAATATGTTAATAATAAAAAAAAAAACTCTTGGGGCTAGAGGAAAACATATTTAAATCAGGAAAAAAAGGTAAACTAATTCCGGCAAATCAATTTATGTAAATTAAATTATTCAACTTCAATTTATTCATGTATTAAAGTAAAAAAAAAAACTAGGTGCTCTTATAATAATTTGTATTAGAAATACTTGTGATTCCATGAAACATAAGCCGATTTCATCAAATTTAAAATCAAGAAACTCAGTTTGATTAGATGTGTTTAAATGTTGATAGAAGAGAATAAACTACAGGAAATAATGTGTAGACAACTTAGATCCAATTAAAACTATTAATTACTATATATTTTCTACAACGTATTGCATCTAATATTGCTTAGTTTGCTCAAGAAAATATATATTAGAATGAATACAAAATAAGAATATATTTTCTATGAATAACAACTTAAGTTACATAACTGTAGAAGACATAAAAAATGATTTAACTTGATAAAAATTTGATAAAAGATTAAAATGTTCTGCATAATTATTTACATTTTTTGAATATCTAATCTACAGAGCCCAAAACAGAGGGAAAAAAGAGAACGCTTTATCAAAAGCACTTCTTACACAGATAACAATTATGTATATCCAAATAATGTATTTTCAATAAACACGGCTAAAAAACTCTCTGAAAGGGTATGATAGCAATTTTACATTCAAGTTGCAAACACTATAAATATTTTGTGATTAGAATGCTTAAACATGAATCTCAGCTGCCAGCTTTGCCTATTGGCAAAAATATATATTTATTTCTCTGCTGTTGATTTCGACTATTTTTTAGATTGTGCATCAACAAAACAAAACAAAATCGGAAATTGTAGTGCCTCCCGCCTGGGTAACAACAACTGCTGCTGATAACCCAATGGCAAACACTTTTACTATTTACTCTGCTCTCAGGGGATCTATAATTCAAATTGGGTCCAATCAATAGGTCAAGTACGCAACATTTCTGAGTGCAGCTAATCTATACAAGTTTGTGGCTATCAGAATGTGCAAAAGGGGTATCATGAAGTTGTGCAAATCTATGTAACAGTCAGAGGGGAACATTTCTGAACACAGCATTTGTTTGCTTGCCTATCTGATCTTAGAGACTATAAGAGCATTTCTCAAAGGTTTTACGAGTGAGAGGAGGCACATTTAACCTTCGTATTTGTGTTCTAAGGAGGTCACTCTCGCTTCGATTTTTATTGCATATTATAACTGTAGGTGTTGTTCTACTTACATATACAACAAACGGCCAGCAGTCGTGATGCATCCTCCGGTGGTGAGCACTCCGGAAAGAAAGGTTTCAGGACGTAGGTACTAAATGTTAATGCAACAATCGCTTGCGAACAGGGACGCACAATCATGCACTCGATCCAAAGACGTATGAATGCCATAAATGGTCCGAAAGTTTCCATAATGTAAGCATAATCCGCACCAGATTTGGTTATCATCGTGCCGAGTTCCGCATAACAATAGGCGCCCACCTAAATTACAATGTAGGAGAAATTAATGAGAAGTTAATTTTATTCTTAAAGTGATTTCTATGCTCAATTTTCAAGCCCAAAGTGGCTGTCATTTCAAGCATTTCCTCAACTGCCAACTGCCAGGCAGCGACCACACAGCGTATACGTAATTTCTTATTGAACGCCAGACGCAACGCGTGCTTTTGACAAGGGCGTGTCAGGCCTGTATCTGTATTGGGTGTACTGACTTGTATCTGTGCGTGTGTGGGTGTGGGTGTGTGTGTGTGTGTGTGGGAATTTCAATAATTTCATTAAAAGACAAAACGCTGTCAGCATTTGTAATTGAGTGTATTGGAGTCCTTTTCACAGTTTTGCATTGGCATTCGCATATCTATTAGTTGAATTGATTAATACACTAAGCAAAAAATATATGCCATCGATTTTAGAAAATCGTCAAAGTCAATTTGATTCATAAGAACATCATTTCAATTACGTGTAAGCGATTTTATAAATTTCTTAAATTGTAGAAAGAAAGTTTCTACAAATTAAAAATAATCAAATGTATTTTTGATTTTTGTTAAGCAGAAAAAAGAAACAAGCGTTTTTCCATTAAAAAAATGTATCTTATAAATTCAAAATTATTTCTCGTTTTCTAGTTGATTTTCCAAATACTCTGTTTCATGTTTTTCTTAGAGTGTATCAATGCACAACTGTTGAACGCCTCCGCAACAGGTGTGCTTCTGTGGTTAGCTAACTGAACTCTTAGCTCATTTGCATATCAGCAACAAACAATATTTATGGCTGCTGACACCAACTTGACTTAATTATTCACTCACCATTGAGAAGAGACCGGAAATGACCCACACAATAAGGGCCAAGTTAACACTGCCTGTATACATGAGCACTCCGGTGGGTGACACAAAGATGCCCGAGCCAATGATGGAGCCCACAATGACTGTGCAACCATTCAATAAGCTCATTTTGGCCTTAAGCGTCACCTCACCGCCACCATCCCCGCCAGCGCCATCATCGCCGCTGGTCAGTTTGTCGGTTGCATCTCCATTGCCATTTACAATTGAGCTCTTCCTTGAGGAGTTCTTGCGATTCAGTGACTCCGTTTCCATCCTGCAGCTGTGTGATTTTCAAGAATCTACCTGCAAAGTAAAAGGTAACCAAAAGTTTATTTTATTAAGTGGATAAAATATTGTAAAAATAAATGAACAATACTTTTATTATTTGTGTCTTAAAATTATAGTCACTTTTCAGTATATCTCTATTCTAATTACAAATTTATTCATATTATTTTATAAAAATCATCTGATTCACTGAAACTAGTTTTCTCAATACCTTACTTTCAGCATCCTAATAAGTTTAAGAGCCTATTTTTAGCTAAACAGATGAACATTTATATTTTACTGTTTATAGCATCACTTATAGAGCTCATAAAATTGTTTTAATTTTCTGCAAATTTTAGCTTGTCAAATATTGTTTCTGCTATTTTATGCAGAGCACGTTGTTCCCTCGGAGCGTCGATAAGTAGTCCATTAAAGTATTTTTTCGAAGCCAAATAACTCTTATGCCAATTACCTCATAATCTTGAGTTAGAAATCTTAATCTTGCACGACTTTGTGCTTATTATTTTTTGTGTTTCGATTTTTGCTTTTATTTCGTTATATGTTTGAGTAAAAGGCAAATCAAAGTTCAATGCCCTGCACTTTTTTGTGGCACATTTTGCACTTTAACTTTGGCGAATTTCGTTTTGTATTTCACTTCTTAAACCTTTCGGGGCACAACAGACATTTGCTGGTGCTCAGTGTGTACCTTCTCTTACAATCAGGCACGACCTCTTAAATTATCAGCTAGACTCACGATGAGGAAATAAATGAGATTCCAATGAGTTCGTTAAACCACGAATAATTTTCATTAAATAATATGTTATATACGAAATGTTTGACAGAGCCCGAGATTAATTGTTGACACATGGGGCGAGTGTCGGCCCATAATATATATAAACAAATATTTACTTAATGGCAAATCAAGGCTGTGGAAAACAAACAACGCCCACCTCCCTCTCTTTCTTGCCTATAATCATGTATTTGGTATGATTAGGTCACTTGTTTATTCAGTTACGATTATATAAGTCAGGTACTTCCTCCCCAAAGCAAGAACCGGCAAAACTGGGCACTGGGCGCTTTACATAAATTAGCATAACACCCAAGCGAGAATAACAACAGATGTGATTCAACTATGATTCTACTACAACTACTATTCAGCGTCAGGTAGAACAAACAGGTGAATAAACTAATGAGCTGCCTACACCAGAGCATAACATTTTACTCTTATTTTTTTTTTTTTTTTTTTTTCGAAATTAACATATTAACAGCAAGTGAGAGCAATTAAAAATACAAATAAATCTTTTCTGTCGGAGTTAAAGAGTATTTGCACTCAGAGAAAATCGAAGTCAGTCATACTTAGTATTTAGTAATTTGATCACCTATTTAAATACTTTCTTTTTTACGAATATATATATATATATATGTTTTTTCAGTGTATCAAATGAGAGCAAATGAGATCAATAACAGACACAGGAAGTCTGTTACAGGGTATTTGGTCATTAGTGTGCTTTTTTGGTTTCCTACAAACTTTAATTGCTAATTACCCCAACTAAAGTGCTTCTTTTACGTTTACAGTTGAGCAACCAAGCCGAACGGCGTGTAAAATTATTAAATTAATTATTTCATGGCTTTCTGAAAATTTGTCGAATATTTTGCATCATTTGTGTGGCAATAAAAGTGGTCAACTTGATGCAGCAAAATTGTTAATTGGGGTTTTTCTGGATTAACAACTGACGTCGAATACGAAACGGAAACTTGCAAAAACTGTAATATCATGAAATTACTGCGAAACTTACAACATTTTCTGACTCATGGGTTCTATGTAATTTCAACGTGTGAAAGGCAATTGTATTTGTAATAGTTAATTGATATACCATTATATGAATGAACTACGTTGTCTGCATGTCGGTCTACTCATTGTCAATGCCTTTCTACCTTTCACCGAGCCATTAATGTGGCCTAATTTTAGCCAACAAAATTGCTTTATGAGTTGAACAATAGTATATTGATTCATTAGGCTATGCCTGTGAACGCATTTGTGTTTATTACAGTGTTGCCCAATTTGCGTATACACACACCAAAAAAAAAAGAAAAGAAAGAAAAACCATTAATTATGATACCGTAAACAAACGTACAATAGTCTTTCAGCTATCTATAAACATATAAAACACACATGCTATCTATTTATATATATGCCCTTTAATTGCTATCAGAGCAGAACATGTTATATGCATTAAATATTTTATACACAATGTGATAAAGTACAATTAATATACTTAGTAAGAATTTGCAAATTATATATGTGCAACATTAAGAAGTTCTGGGGAATTTTTTCTGTGCCTGTTAAATTAAGCTTATATTTACAGATGATTGAATTTTGTCCGAGGTGTGAATTTTGCTTTATTGTTTTATTTTTCTTTTTTGCGCCATATGTTTTTAAATTTTCCGATAGCATTTTATTAATACGCTGTACATTTTTTGATTTTGGTCATTTTTTTGTATGTGTGTATTGATAAGAGAGATGAGTATAAGTTTGAAGGAATTTTCTATCGACTTTGTTTCTTTGTTTCTCAAATTAAAGCTAATGTTTATAATTCATTTGATTAATAGGTGTGAATTTGTGGCTATAAATTCATTTGCCTTTTCTGAATATTCGCGAGCATTTCAATTCAAGTTGAGCAAAATTTGCGCTGTTTTGTTTTAAAATGTATATATTTTTGTTTAAATAAATTCGAATATATTTGTTATTTTCTTATTTCTTTTGTGCACATTAAAACAGGCTGTGATGACAGTTTAAGCATTGTCCACACACACAAGATTACACACACAGGTACACAGGCAGTTGTTAAAATATTATTCGCTGGATATATCTATTGAGTTTAGATACCTTCTCAAAAGCAAATACAAATATATTTCGCGCCACACAAATCCGTTAAGCGTTCAACTGCAACGAGAACAACGGCGAACCGCACGCAATCAACGAATACGGCAGACTGACAAGAGAGCTGGTGCTGTTGCCTCCTGCTTCATGCCAACGACATCGTTTTCGCGGCGCAATCTCGGCGAGAGTTTGAGTACAGCTGACCCAAAGCATCCCCGTGTGTGCACACTTCACACTTCACACATTGCACAGTTAAAGCTCTGCTCGGCCAGTCAAAGTCGAAGCTTTGTTTTGTGTCGGCAAAGCTCTGATTATGCGCTACATCGAACTTGTTCGAGGTTGAATGTTTTCTGTTTTTAATAGAGGGCTCGTTCGCTTCTAACCGGCAATTTTGAATTTATAATTTTTCAACCAAAAACGAGTTATTTTTTATTCTGTTTCGGCTTTCAACAGAATTTCTGGTGTTGCCGTAACAAAAGTTGTTTTAATTTTTTTTTTTTTGTTTCTTCTTTCTCATTCTACCAACATGTTTGCTTTTAATTGTTTGTACACAAGTATTCTCCAGCGGGAAAAAGTTCGCGTCATTTTTATCTAAAAGATACTTGTTCGCAATTACTAATTATCTGTATGCTGCGCTGATTACGTTGTCAGCTCTTTGCACACGTGCTACATACATTATCGGATGGGTAGTTTTTGAAAATTATCATATTGTGATGAATTGGACAACTGTAGCAGTTCTGCAGATACAAAAGAATCTCTCAGATTAGAGTCCATTTAGTGTATCTTTCACACGTTTCACAGTTGTTGAGTTGTGCAAATTTGTTGCGATGCTCACAGATTTTTCGCGCTTATAAGTCTTTCAAATCCCACACTCTGTCTTGAAACAACCTATAATTGAATGTATCCGCAGCTGGGGCAATGTCTACACTTAAAAAAAAAATAAATAAATAAAAAGAGAACACAGTTTTACAATACAATAGATTAAAAAACAATAGAAATGCTGGATCTGGGTTTTAAGAAAGGAAATCTGACAGAATATGTATGGCGATTATTAAAACTCTTTAGTTCATTGTTTTTTTGTTTTTTTTTTGCTTTTTTTTTATGAGTGTATACTCAACTGCTTCAATTCAAATCCCTGACAATGAAGAGACTCGAAGACAGTTTCAATTTCTCTGTACAATTCACTAATAGCCCCTTTGTGGAATTTTAATAAAAGTTAAAGTCGTGCTATTTTGTGTTTATTACTGGAACTTACTTAACTTTTGTGCACAACGAGTCAATAAGACTAAAACTTGCTCCTACTTAAAAATAATTTTGTATATTTTGTTTTTTGTATTGCTCAACGTTAGGTTTACTTAGTCGCTTAAGTAATCGACAATTGTCGTGGTGGCTAAAGCGGCATTGAGTTGAGGTTCATAGAACATATATATATATATATATGTATATATAACTTTATGAGTATCTTGCTTAATGTACGCAAAGTCACTGAATTTAATTCAAATTCAAATTGCTGTTATCGTGATGCTTAGCATTGGCAGATCTGTACATTTACTAAGTGATTTACAATATGATTTGTTTGTATTTATCACTGTGTTCTATATAAATAGAATATTTCCATATGCTCAGAAGCTTAAGGTTTCATGTAATGTGACAATTACGTGTTTTGAAGCCTTATCGATAGATAGAAAAATATTACAGAAAATATCTGCAATACTAAATATCTTAGCAATTCAAAAAATAAATATTATTAAATACATCAACATATATAAAGCATAAGTAATGTATTATATTATATTATTAAAACAAAAAGTCTTAAACTTGAGAAAATATCATTCGAGATTATAGTAAAAAGAATCTACGACAGAAAATCCAATTTAAAGTTGCATTCTACAGATGTTTGTTAAATTGAATTAAGTGAAATTGAAAGTATACCTGCCCGTCATCTAAATCATTCTGCAAATCAATATAATACAAATTATTTTTAAAAAATTATTCTCGACTCGGTTTTGAACAAAATTGATAAATGGCATTTTTTAATCGGCAAAATGAAAACACCAATAAATTAGACACTTAATATGCGTTTATATATATATTTTTACTTATATATGATCTTTAGGCATGCACAAATGCGATACGCAACGCGTAAGTTGATCAAAGACAACCAAAACACAGACGCCCAATTTACAGGGTGCAGGGCATTGAGTGAACATACAAATACTAATTGACCCAAGATCTTGGGAGCGTTTTCTCAATGTGTATGCTTGGCAAATAAAATCTCGGATTTCAGAACCGAGCGGCTGACCATATTATTTATGTGCATTGCATCAGATTTGCAGTTTAAAGTCAATTTTAAGTAACCAACTTAAATGTAAACTTTAGTAACGAGAATGGAAACTGGCGCCAAAGTGTCTGAAAATGCTGTGACGTTGATAAAACCGATTAGTGGTGGGTGTGTGTGTGTGAGTGTAGGTGTGTGTGTGTATGTGTGGGTATGTGTGCTGTGACGTCACACAAACAATAACTCTGACGTATATTTTGCAGCCAAACAAGAAACCTTGCAGAAGGGCAAATTTCCTTTGCCAATTTGCAATGCCTATTTTAAGGTCTGTTTTTTTTTTTTGTTTTTTGCTTGATTTCTTTTGATGAAATGTGCGTATAATTTATTGAAAACTTACACAAAGCTCTGAAATTAATTATAGATCTATTTAAATGCAATTCTCGCTTGTAAAACACTTTCACGACTCAAGGTCAAGGTTTTTGAAGCATATTTCGTACGTCAGCAGCACTTTTATCTATATATTTGTAATATATTACTTATTTTGTTTACTTTCGTATTGAAATATGTATATTTGCTGGTTTGCTATCCACACACTGTGTTGCTAGTCAAAGTTACAAATGAAGGCGCGTTTGGTTAAATAAACATATATATATATATAGAAATATATTTTGTCAAGACCTGTTTCCCTGTTCAGAGTTCACTGAGTACTGAAAGCTATACAGCATCATCAGGGGCAGAAACAAAATGCTCTGATAAGAGCAAAGCAGAGCTTCGCAGCTTGCAGACCAAAAATGAAAAGAAAAGAAATGAAAAATGTGCTTTGGCCAGAGTTAGTCTTGGGCTTCTTAAGAACCTTTTGAGTACTTAAAAATTATACGTTTGCTTCCCTCCCTTCTACACTTCTGCTCTTCAGCGTACGCAAAGGCATTCATCAAGGGTCTTAAATTATTATGCGATGGCTTTCGGTTCGTGTTTTTTTTTTATTTTTCGGGGTTTTTTTGTCAGTCGGCCGTTTTGGATTCGCGCCTTTTGTTTGCGCAGCAAACATGGCACAATGTGCTTTGCATTGCTTTTTGGCTGCTGCTGTTCTCAGCTCTGTCTGCTGTTCCTTTATAATTGTTGTTGTGCCTAAGGTCAACATTCTTGTTTTTCTGCGCATGTCCTGAATTGAGCTTTTTTCTTTAACTGCCAAAATCTGTGAGCGATATAAAGCGTATATCGATTTTAGGCCTAAGCACATGTTTGTGTACTAATATCGGTTATTATTTTAGCTGCTTTTTTCGGCATCAGCTTCTATTGTTCATTTTGTTTTTCTTGAATTCGATTAACGCATTAACTTTTATTTTTTAAATATTGCATCGAGTGTCAGAGCAGCCAGCTCTTGCTGCTAAGCAGTCACACAAACTCGTTTGCTCACAGCCTTGCAAGCAGTGCACAACATCTGCCGAAGCAGTGCTTTGTTGTGTATTGACTACTACACGCTAGATGGCGACAAAGTGAAATTGACGCATTTTCACAAAATCAAATTCAATTCATTATGGAAAAAGTCAAGATTTATTGAATCTGTTTGAATTTTTCGCGAATTGAAGTTACATTCAGTGAAGCTTCTATTTTCAATCAACCAATTTATTTCTAATATCCATCTGTAGTACTAGTATTTGTAATTTATTAAATAATAATCAACTCTTTTAAAACATTTTGTCTGTTTTGGTTTACAATTTTTGTTTATTTTCTTCATTTTTTTCAGCAAATTGTGTTGCTTCTATTATGTCACTTAATATGTGCACTTAACAAAAAAATATCGTGTGAACATATGCAAACTGTTTGCGTGCAACAGCCGCAGTAAACTTTGATCCTGTATTCGAACAGTTCAGGCGTGGCAAGGAGCATTGTTGTGCGCTTAAGACACACACACGACCACGTGTACACCACTGTGCATATGTGTGTGTATGTGTCTGTGTGTGTGTGAATGCCATTGCAGAAACACCTACGCACTGTTGCACAACAATAAAAGCGCTGCAGCTATACGAAGCTTATTAGTTTGTTTTCAAACTGGGCACAGAATCAATCATCGAAAAGGAGCAGGAACAGTGCAGGATGGGGGCACGTCGGGAGCAGGACGACCAACTGTAAAACTGACAAACACCTGATGTGCCACAATTTTTGTGTCCCCCACCGGATGCTGCGCCAGCAGGATATGAACGCATTCCCAATCAACGTGCATACCACTCTCGCATCTCGCATACTGCCAGGGAGTCATTCAGTTATCCTGGCAGGCAGCCTATTGCCCAGTTCACTACGCTTTTTTCAATGTCCCTTGTCGCACGCTGCTGATGTATGCTTCTCTCTTTTTTAGTCCTTGTGCTGCTCTTTGATCCTGTGGCGTGTGGCTGGCAACTGCATTGGAAATTCTTGTTTGGACAGTCAATAGAAATGGAACTCCCTTGCTATATAGTCGCAAAATGGTATGCTACTCAACTCCTATGAGGGATATACATACTTATTCCATTTTAATATTGAACTGGAATTAAAAAAATTACAAAATAAAATTAATTTGATGAGATTTTATAGTTTAGCTAGAAATCATATCTCAGCCAGGGAACTTTTTAATTCCTTTTATGTTTTTTCTTTTTATTGCAAATACCTGCAACATTTATAATTTAAATTTTGAAGTGGAATTATTTGGAAATAAAATTATTATGTGTAGACTTCATTCTTCAGTGAGAAGAGTACTTCAGCAAGGGTTCTCTTTAATTCGACTGCACAACCATTGTGATTTTTTTATTTTTTGGGTATTTTTTGTAAGAGCTTCCAACTAGCAGTAAACTTTAATGCCAACCGTTGCGATTTGCATTTTTTAATGGACTGTAAACGTCAG